CACATTAACGTCAGCTGCACCATACATGCTAAGTAGGTGTTCTTGCTTATGGTTCCTAAATGCAGTATTGGTCAACAGTAAGGAAATTATAGGCCTAAGAAGCTGGGCTTACACTGTACCCTAGATTGCTCACAAGCTTTATCAGGGACTCAACAGAGCATCCTGGAAAACATGACTCTTAAGAGGCTCATTTGAAGTTGGAGAAACAATAAAAGGGGCTACAAATCAGATACATGTTGAGTATTTTGACCTGGGAGTTTTTTAAAGCAACTGAGGGCAAGTCTCTCCTATGTACTGTGAAGCTGGCCAGATTCTCAGGTGACCTCTCCTGCCAGACATTAGAACTACGGGACAAGAACTGCCAGATACCCTGAAGTATCTATTTTAACTTTTTTTTTTCCTAAGAAATATTCACAGTCACCCAAAATAAAGGCCACATTTCTCCGTTATCCTAACTGCCAGATATAGATGTTTTTGGCCAAAAAATACAGAGATATCTTGTGGCAGCTTCCAACTATCCAGAACAGGCTCACTGCCTTGCTACTTACAGCGATTCTTCCAAGTACAGCACAGATGTGATATCTGTTAGCTGGACTAAGAGAATGCTGTCCTATAGATGATGACCCTCCTCCTGACGGCACCAAAGGACAAAGTGGCCATTCAGGTCAGGAATGCCAATGCTTAGAATTTTACAGGGAGAAATACCTCGCAACCTATTAAAGCCATGTTATTCTAGGTGTCTAGTGCTCATTCCCAAACCCATGCCTAGCTAATACAAGTCCCCAGTGACAAAATACTGCGGTGAGCAGTAACAAAAACAGTCAGGCAGAGGGCACATGGAAAAACAAAGGAAACAAATGCAGAGAAGGAATGACAGGACTGGGGAAGTATGGAGCCTAGAAACCTTGAAGTGTGTTCTGAAGAAAGTAACTGGGATGCTTATTATAAAATAAGACAAAAATTTCTAAATGAAAACCTGCATGAGCTGGTATGAATATAAGGGATATAAGAGGTTAGAAATAGAGAGAAACCAGGAAAACTAGGTGATAAATTAGCCTAAGAGGCATCTTCTACCTTGGGGAGAGGTTGATAGCTGTACATGACATGGGAGGAGAAAAAGAATGACGTCTCTAGCTTACTGAATGTGGGAGGGGCTGCATATATGGAGATTCCTACAGAAAGTGAGAGTCAGAGGGCTCTAAGACACAAGAGCCTGCAGTTAAAAAACTCAGGAACAGGGGAATGGGAACCTGTGAAAAAGGATCTGCAAAATTTTTCGATACTGCATTAAATCTCCAGATCACCTTGGGGCAAATCTGCCTTGAATGAGGAGCTCTGACCTAATCTCGCAACGTGGTACAATTCGTTCTTTTAGTCTTTGATAGAGGCTGTACCCATTTTCTAGATTTATAACTAAGTGATCAATTTTCTTTGGATTGTTAATTCTGTTTGTAACTTCAGTCTCTATGTGGTTTAGCAGGATGTAGAAATGTCAGAGATTTGTGTGCGTGGCTCCTCTATTCTGTGCTCCCCTCAAATTCACTTAAATGAGATTTCTTGGGACATACAATCACGTTATCTACAAACAGAACGGTTTCCGTTTTCTTTTTCCAAGGTATGTCTTCATATCTTTTTGTGGCATTATCAACTCAACTTATTGTCACTGAGTCAGAACAGACTCACAGTTGATTTCTGGGATGTTGTAAAATCACACTGGAGGAGAGTGACCATTTTTTCCTCCCTCAGAGCTGCTGGTGGATTTGAACCACAAGAGGCACTGCCTTCTGGTTGGCAGTCCAATTCCCTACAGACTATGCAACAAGAGCTTTCTCCCTGCCTGGTGTCCCTGCTGACTGGTGCCACCGAGTTGAAATCGACTTCTAGCTGACTGTCTGGCGGGTTTTCAGAGGCAGTAAATCACATGGGAGGTGAATGTCCACCTTTCTCCCGTGGAGCAACTGGTGGGTTTGAATACAGTGCCTCTGGGTTGGCAGTGCTGCTCCTTACCACTAGGCCATGAGCACGAGCTCCCTTCTTGCTTCATGGTGCTTGCTACATCTCCCAGTAGTGTTAACTGTGGCGACAGTAGGCATTCTTGTCTTATTATTTTTATTAGTGGGAACACATTTAGTTTTTTACTAGCAAGTAAAATGTTAGCTATAGGGCTTTTGTAAATGCTCTTTGTGAAACTGAGGCAATTTTCCACTATCTCCAGGTTTCTGAGTGTTTTTATCATAAATGGTGGTGGTTGTTAGGCGCCATCAAGTTTGTTACATGACTTTTCTGCCTCAATTGTTATGTTCTTATAGTGTCAGAAAAGGTTCTCTTCTGTTAGGTCACATTTTTCCACCGGTTAGCAAATCGAGCTTTTCAAGAAGCTCCTTTTTGGATTTGTGCCTGTTGCTGGTTCTAGGTCGCAGGCTTCTCTGGCGTTCCATACAGGCTATCTGAAAGGCAAAAAGTAAATCCAGAGAACTCACAGCTTTGCCATTTCTCAAGTTTCGAGGTCCCTAGAAGTCCACTTCCTTCCTTCTACTTTCCAGTCTTCCTATGCTTGTTGTGTTACATCCAGAGGTTTATTTTAAATAAAGGAGGGAAGACACGAGGGGAAAAAAGGACTACTCTAATTTGGTTGGGATTGTAAATTCCAGACTTACATTATAAAAAAGAAAATACCTTCGTGAATGAGTTAAGCATCTAAGGAGTCAAACAAGAATTCAAAGTAAATACCCCATAAGAGAGAGAGCAGAAATAAAACAAGTAAGTGTAAAAATTAGTCTATTGCCTAACAAGCTAATAGTAAGGAGAAAAGTGCAACAAAGCCAAGAGTTTGTTCTCTGAAAAGATATAACACACTAAATTCAAGTGAGATTACTAAGGAGCTAAGAAAAAATAACCCGTAAATAATGATGAGGGCTGGAGAAGAGTTACATGAACACTGACGTCACAAAGATTAAAGAGCAGTGTGAACAGTTTAATGTCAATACATTTGAAAAGAAATGTAATAACGAACATTTAGGGAAAAAAATTATCAAAAGCAAAACATGTTGAAAGAGAAAATATATTAAAAGATTAATAAAGAATTGAACAAATAGCTATAAAACTAAACAAACAAACAAACACCTTCGCAAATAAAATACCGAGAATCAGATAATTTCAAGACGCGGGTAATGGTAATCTTTTACCTTCTCTTCCAGAGAAGTGAAAAAGAGAAAGGAAATACCTTAACTTATTATCACTTACTTTAACCTTGCTATCAAAGACATTATAAGATAGTAAGATAGTACCAGGCTTAGGAGCAGGAGTGGCGTCCACTTCCGAAATAGCTTGTCTCAGGAAACTCTATGAACTTGGAGAAATGATGAAAGTTATACTTCATGTCTTTTTAAAGTTGAGATCTTTCATTCACAGGTTTGGTATGAGTCATCTATGACTCAATGGCACTTACAACAACAGAAGAGAAACTACTGAACATTCTTATTCAAGTAATAGATAAAATCCCAGCAATAAAGAAAGAAAAATAGAAAAAATATATTAAAAAATGTATCTTATCCTAGGAATACAGATGATTCCCAGGCTCCTGACTTGAACAAGAGGAATGGTGAGATAGAACAAGCGAGAGCAAGAAGTTTGTAAGTGCCCAGGAAGAGAAATGCAGGCTGCAGCTGAGAATCTGAGAATGCAGGTTTGGGAATCAAGTGAAAGTTAGGCTGGAGAGAGAGCACTGAGATGACCAGTATAGAAATAGTAACACAAGTCCTACTAGTGGGATGACATTATCCACGGGCCCTGAAGACAAAAGAGGACCAAGGCCTGAATCAGAGACAACCTCAATGTTTAAGGGAAAGCGTTCCCTGAAAAGACTGGCTAAAAAACACCAGGAAAAGAAAAGAACCAGGAATATAGGACTGATTCCAATTCTGCAACGAGAAAAGTGGATCAGTGATAGGATAGGATAGGATATCACTGGACCACCATGACAGAGCAGTTTCAGGCTGTGGTGTTAGAAGAACCCAGACTTCTGTGGGCTGATGGGTGAAGAGATAAACAGAAAAAACATGGTCAATGCTCACAAGTCAACTGGCTGAGGAGAGAAGTAAAGAATGCGCAATAGCAAAGGGAAAGGGAGATTAAAGGACGAACAAATCTGTAGACTCTATCCACTGGAAAATGAGAGGGTGAGAAAAACAAACACCCTTCCTAGCTCCTCCACATTCTAGAAAGAGAAACATTGACTGGTTTTTGGTCATAGTCCTAAGGCAGGAACACATCATAACCACCAGAACTAGTTTCAAACCTGTCCTGAATAACAGTAACGACTTGCTTTGGTTAACCATGTTTCTGAAAGTTGACCACACAGCAACAGCTTCAGTTCAGGGACCACACTTTCCCGAAAGTTCACCCGTTACGGAACCACATCTGCCTAAAATGAAGAGGTCACATAAAAACAATCTGCGGCATGAAGAGGTTACTTGGTTTCTCTAGGTGCCAGGCTGATGCTGGTCTAGCAATAAGGCCTCTAATATTACACAGATCTTACGCTGCTTCCCTCTGTACTCCATCACACCCTTCCTGAAACACAGAGAGCTCTACTTCTGGGTAGGTTTTCACATGGCACTTGCCACATTCAGGTTGCTCATATATATGTGTGCTTGTTTCCTTTTGTCTTGGTCACCCCAGAAGTGAAGCTTCTTTTTTGTAGCCCTACAGGCTTTTAAATGGCAGATGAAAAAATGAATGAAGTCTGTAATGATTTAAATTTGTTATTGCCGACTTACTTTCAAAAAGGTGTTTAGGTTTCTCTCTTAAGCAAGTGATTTAAGCCATCTCTATTAGAATGTTCTGTATGGTGTTTATGTGCTTAATATTACTCCACTATCATAGGCATCACAAAGGCAAAGCAACATCTCATTTTCTAAAAGTTCCAAATAAGAGAACCAAGTTTTCTCTGAAGAGGTTTTACCACCTCTGTACATATGAAGTTGAAGAATATTTCTTACCTGAATTTTGATGGGCCAGGTGAAATTACTGACATAAACAAAGAAAGTAATATTTGGGTGGTTTCGAAAATCAAACTTCTCATTAGAGAAGCTATCTTTGTACTCCTTAATGTTGGTTTTTGAAACAACGGGCATTTCTTCTCCAGCCTGCGTGCCAGCTGTTGAGGGAACAGGGGGAGAAATAGAAGAGATATTTATTGTTACTTTTATTTTCAGATTAAGAAACCAAGGTTTATCAATATTAAGTAATTTGTCTCAGGCTACACAACCAGAGAGCAGGAGAATTGGGATTTGCAACTGGACAGGCTGATACACAAGCCTAGATCTCAACTTCCCACACTCTAACAGGCCACCTTTGGAACTGAAAACACAGCTAGCAATAAAATATTTTTAAATAAGCTATTGCACTAAATCTTCCAACAATAATTTCTGGCACCCGCTTGGCTGTGTTGCAGACCATCCTATTACCGGATCACTAACCACCCCTCACTTCTTGACTACTTGTGGTCTACAGTCTCAACACAACTGGATAAGAAGAGGCTTGCGGGGCAGTCAGTTGTCTCTTCAGTGATGAGCTGCAGTAACACAGCCTCACTGACTTGGTATTCATCGAGACAAAGAGAAGGAAGCCTGTTTTCACGAGGAGTTAGTTTTTTAATTGTTTTTTGTTTGTTTGTTTGTTTAGCTTGTTCTATATTTGGTAATTCGTACATATTTTGGTTTGTAACATTTACAAGGAGGATCTAGAGAAGAACTAGAGAAGCTGTGTCTTTCTTTACCTGAGAAGCTGGCAGCCCAGGTGATGTTAAGGTTGAAGTTTTTGGAGGCATTGATGAACATGTCCAAATCTCTGTTTTGCTGATGAGAGAAGCAAAGAATTAAAAATTAACTATGTATAACAACTTCTAGATTTAAAATAAAATGAATTAAATCTTAACTATTCACAACCACCTTCATTACAAATACACTACAATAACAGAAGAGAAACTCATTAAAGTTAGTAAAATTCCCAATCCATTTTCCCTAATACAAGAAATATGTTCTAAAGCACAAGAAATTTCATGCTTTATCAAATGCCTAAGTCTACAAACCAATAGCTTTTAAGAAAACCTTCAATCTACAGTCAACTGATTTCTGACAAGTTTGTTAAATCCATTCCATGTAAAAAGAAGAATCTTTATAATAAATAAATGGTGTTTGAATAACTAGATTTCAACATGCAGAGGGATAACAGGATCTATGCTGGTATAATGGTGTTGAGTTAATTTTAGAAATGAATTACCTAATATAAAAACAAAGATAGCAAAAGATAAAATAGAGGGGTTCTTATAGCAATAAAATACGTTTACTCATAAGAGACTTTACCAAAAAAGTGAAAATATAAGCTACCAACTGGGAGGATATCCTCCAATCTGATAAGAATCTACCAATCAAAATACATATAAAAATTTTCACCCATTAACAACAAAATACAAACTAATATAGCCATACAATGGGCCAAAGAACTTGAAGAGATATTTACCATAGATGACATTCAAATGGCCACTAAACGCATGAAAGGAATGCCCAATGTCATTAGCCACTGAGAAATGTAAATCAAAACCATCATGAAAACTCTTTCACATCTACAGAATACCAATGGCAATTAGCTGGGCTTTTTCATATGCAAACAGCACAAGAAAATGTACTAGAAAAAGTATTTTGCAAAGGGAGACATGAAAGGTGAAGGTGCCACTAGCCCATGACTAGCAATTTATTTTATGAGGTTGTTGTTACATGCCCTCGAGCTGGAAATGACTCAAAGCTGACCATCCAGCGAATTTTCAGAGGCTGTAAATTGCACAAAAGATTGTCATTTTCTCTTACAGAGCAGGTGGTGGGTTTGAATTTCATGTCTTTGGGTTGGCAGCAAAACTCCTTAACCACTAAGTCCCAGATATTTTAATTAGAGATTTAAAACTACTTATTTTTTTAAGTCATCCTCAAAAAGGGTCTTTTAACTTTAATTCCAATTGAATTGTGTCCTCTCAAACTAATAAATTCAAACCTCAATGCCTACTGTTATAATTTCAATTGAAAGCAGGCTGTCTTAGTTATATCAATAAGGCAGGATAATTTGATGGTATGCCTTCAGGCCACCTGTATATCAAACACGCAAACTAACAAGTAGAGATGAAAAGAGGCTGGAACTCATATCAAATGAAGAACAAGATTGGAGCCAAGGACCTTTCTCTAAAGCCAACCAAGAAAATGCTTTGCCTAGAGCCCTGAATTTGCACTTTTTGCTTCCTAAATGGTGGGCAAATCAACTTCTATTATAGCAGCACTGGTGAACCAAGACAGAATTTGGTACCATGAAACAGGGGGTGCTGCTCTAACAAATACCTAAACTGCAGACATGGCTAGAAGTTTTAATGTGCCTTGGTGTAAAAACCTAGAGGGTCTTGGAAAGATTATTGGTAGAAATGAGGGCAAAAAAGGTAAGTCTGGTGAAGGCTCAGAGCGAAGTGAGGACAGCAGTGGAGAAAGTTTCTGTCATGTCAGAGAAGATACATGGCACCAGCAACATAATGTTACTGGAAATACGAACGTTGATTTGGCTTCTGATAAGGCTTTAAAAGAAAATGGTGACCATGTGACTGGACAATGGTAGAACATGTTCAAATGTTGGTGGACAGCAAAAGTTACATAAAAGATGAACTTGGAAATGTAGCTGATATTTCTAAATAAGACTTTTAAAGGGTTGTATGGTTTTTACTTGTTGCTTAGAATGAAACATGAAAGGAAAGAAATGGATTTAAAGATGAACTGTGCAAAATGAAAATAGAACTTGGAAGATTTGGAAAATTCTGTTGTACATCTAAGGAAATATTCACCAAGGATATGGCTACATAATCTTTTGTGGAAGAGATCAGTCCTCTGACTAATGCACTTGACCAAATCCACCATGGGAAGCCTATCAGCTTAGATTGAAAAGGACAGAGAGAGGAGGAAAGAGGTTGTCTGTTGTTATGATTCTATAGGCAGAAAACATGTCAAAGGAACAACATCAGTTGTCCTCCAACAAATGGAGCACCTCTGGGGTAGTATGAAGATTCCAGACCAGTTGGAGGAACACAGAAAGCAGAACTGCATTGGTTTCAAATGGCAGACACTTGGCCTCTTAACAGTGTGGGGTACTGACCAGAACTGAAGACGCTGGGCCTCCAGACTGAAGTGGAAGAACGTGGGCTTCCTGTGCTGAGGAGGGAGGACATTCCAGAGGCTTGGAAAGTGATGCTAAAAGTAAGGGGCTTCTACTCAGAGTGTGGACATCAGGGTCATTGTCCAAATAGTCTCAAAGAACAGAGGAAGAACAAGCCTTGGGAACCAATGCAATTTGTTCTACTGGGCTTTTCTTGCTTAGTGTCCATTATCCTTTCTTTTCATCCAATTTCTCTCATTTGTAATGGAAATGTATACTTTGCAACTATTCCATCATTGTACTTTAAAAATAGATAACCTCTAGTCCAGAGTTCTTCAGTTCCCAGATGAAGAAAGATTTTGCCCAAAGACAGAATACATCTGAAGTCTCATCCATATTTGATTTACATTATCCAGAAAATGAAATTTTGGACTTAGGGCTGATTTTATGACTTTTAAGATAAGTTAGCTAGATCAATGTGTTTTATTTAAGTCGAGGACATGAATTTTGAGATGGATGTGTGTCAAAGGGCGCAAATTTACTGACTGAATTGTGTCCTCCAAATATGTGTTACAAATCCTAGCCTCTTACTGCATGGTATAAAATTAGGAAATGTGGGTTGCAGGATACATCGGGGTTGTATCCTTTCACCACACTTCTTCACTCTTTATGTAGAACAGATAATCAGAGAAGCTGTACCGATGAAGAAGAAAGCAGAATCAGGATGGAGGAAGTCTCACTACCAACCTGTGATATGTAGATGACACAGCTTGCATGATAAAAATGAAGGCGACTTGAAGTACTTACTAGTGAAGCTCAAAGACAACAGCTTTCAGTACAGATTACATCTCGATATAAAGAAAACAATAATCTTCATAATGGAACCTACATAATTGATGTGTGCCACCGAGTCAGAAATGACCTATAGCTGACCCTCCAGTAGGTTTTCAGAGGCAGTAAATCACACGGAAGGAGACTGTCCATCCTTCTGGCATGGACAGGACCTTATTTCTTGCCAATCCTGTCAATGTAGCCTGGCCTTCTTTCTTTAGAACCAATGGCTCTTGATCATTAGCATACTATTCCACAAAATGGTTTAGTGTTGAGCTATTCTTTTTGGTATGGTGACTGTGTATATTCCTTCCGTCTCCTTCTGATACTTCCTACATCACTCAATATTTTGCCCACAGAATCTTCCAGTACTTAAAACTTGAAGCTTGGAATTTTTCTTTAGTTCTTTCAGGATGAGAAATGTGTGTTCTTCCATTTTGGTTATCTAACTCCAGGTCTTTGTATATTTCATGATTACACCATGCTTTGTCTTCTCAAGTTCTCCTTGAAAAGCTTCTGTTCAGCTCTTATTTCTCCCTTTTGGTGTTGTTTCTCTACATTCAAAAGCACATTTTGGACTTTTCTGACATCTATTTTGGTCTTTTCTTACTTCCTGTTTTTTAATTACTTTTTTCTTTCTTCATTATGTCCCTGATGTCATCCCACAACTTGTCTGTTCTTCTGATATTAGTGCTCAATGCATCAAGTCTAAAGTTGAGATGTTTTAAAATTCAGGTGGAGTATACTCAAGTCGGTGTTTCGGCTCTTGCAGGTTTATTTTCATTTTCTTCAAGTTCACTTTGAACTTGGCATGTGAGTAATAAATGATCTGTTCCACAGATGGTCCTTGGCCTTGGCCTGACTGATGATATTTAGCTTGTTGACCACTGTCTCTTAACATCCATAGATACAGTCAATTTGATTCCTATGTATTTCAAACTTCTTCTGAGGAGCATATGATACCTATTTCATGTAAAGGTCTCTGCAATGAAGCAATCACTGATTCTACTAAATTATATCATGTCATCTCAGGCTTCATTTCTGTCTCCAAGGCTGAATTTTCCAACTACAAATCCTCCTTGTGTCTAATCTTGTGCATTGTAGTCACAATTATTATTAAATCATCTTGATTATATGCTTGGCCAATTTCAGACTGCAGTACTTTGTAGAAATCCTCAGTTTCTTCATTTTTTAACTAGTGCGTTAATCTGAGTCATAGGTGTATTAACAGGTTTTCCTTCTATTTGAATAGATTATTATCTTTTCACTGAATGTACTGTATTTCAGGATAGATCTTGAAATGTCTTTTTGATGACTAACTAGACACTTTTAAAAAAATTTTGTCATTTCCTGCATAGTAAATAAATCTTATGATTGTCTGATTTTAAATGGTTAATTCTCATCTATACCAGCTAACTAATACCTTGCTGTTGTTAGGTGCCATCGCATTGACTACAACTGATAGCAACTCTCAGACAGTTGTATTACATATTATACAATATTTATGTATTTAATTTCATTTTCTGACAACTTCCAATTTTCTTAGATTCACATGTCAGACATTCATCCTTCTAATTATCAATGGATGTCTACAGCTATTTCTCTTCACTTTGAGTCATGCCACGTCTGTAAATGAAGATCTTTTATTGGCTGAATGCTTTCTTTTGTCCGTTTAACAGAGGTTCTACTTTAATGAGGCAGCACTCCCACAGCCATACGCTGAGAACCTTTCAACCTAAGAGCTTCTAGCATCTTCCAGCGCTGTCTTGTGCAATGTTTCGCTGGAACTCACAGGGTGTTCTAGGGCCCATTATTTCAGAAGTGGCTAGCCAGACCTGTTTCTTACTTTGTCATCACTGGAAGCTTGGCTGCAACTTGCCCATGATGGGTGACCCAGACGCTGGTGGCAAAGCTTCACAGAGCACAGCAGCATGCAAGTCCTGCCAGCCAGGCTGCTGTCCATCTTACTAAGAAGTATAATAAACACTATACTGTGTTTATTTTTAAAATAAAATTAGTTACAAATCCTGAATGACTGTGAATAACCATTTGCTTATGAATTAGGCATTGAGTAAACACCAGTGTTAACTTCTGCTTTAACATTATCCTGAAGTCCTTAAAAAAATTTCCAATCAACACATCCACTCTAATAATATGACACAAGTTTCTCCACTAAAAATTATTTTCATATAGATGGATTTTTAAAGAAGTCATTCACTGAAGTCTTCTCAGCATGTTTTCTCTTAACTGTTTTTGTGAAATGGAATGGGGGGGGGAGACCCCAGTATTTTAATAGATTGTTGTTGTTGTTATGTGCTGTCATGTTGCTTGTGACTCATAGCTACCCTATGTACCACAGTTTTGAACCCTGCTCTATCCCAAGCCAATTCAATTTAGAACAGACTATCTCACGTTAGACTTTATTATATTACTTTTCTTTTAAATTGAACAATATTTGCTGATATCATGTTAATCAAGGAGCCTGAACGATTTATCCTTCAGTTTAGTGACATTTCATGAAGTATGAGAGTATTAAATAACTATAATTTTAGAAATCCTGTAGGTCTGTCATGTTATCTATGTTTTTAAGTGACAAGTTAATGGTGTTGTCTTCCTGATTAACTATTAATGATAGGTTCATCATTAAATATAAGCTCACATTCCAAATGGTCTTTTTAGTGATTTCAGAGTCTCTCGGGGCCACTTACCAGACCTAACTAAACTTTCATTGATTCCTACTGCACAGTGAGAGCTGACTAACTCATTCCAAGAGCAGTATCTTCCTTTGTTGTTTGCTGGTACCTGTATCAGAGGCATTAATTTCAATCTGCTGCTTCCTGGCAAAGTGCTTTTCAAGCCTATGGTACGTTTTAAGAGTAAATTCTGGCTCTACCTCCTGCCCCTACGAGGCTAGAGCATCCTTTCAAGTCTTTGGGCACAATGGTTAAGTGTTTCGCTGCCAAGCAAAAGTCAGGCAGTTCAGACCCACTAGTTCCTTTGTGGGAGAAAGATGTCAAGTCTGATACTGTAAAGATGACAGATTGTGCACCCTATGGGAGCATTTTGTTCTGTAGGATTTCTATGAGGTGAGAGCAACTCAGAGGGAATGCATTTTCCCCTTTCCTTTATGGAGCTATGATCAAAGCAAATATGTAGCCAGTCAGTGCTCAGTGTGGATAGCAGTTTCTTCTGATAAATTCTGACACTATTCTTGGGTTTTAGATGGAAAGAAGATAAAATGTAGATTCCATTTTTTCCCCCCTTCTGTACCTCTCAAGGGTATTTTATGTACTCCAGTCTGGAGACCACTGGTAAGGCAGTACTCCTATCTACAGTGACCAAGAAATTATCTCTTATGAATTCACTACACAAAAAGAAGACTTTAAAAATCTTACTTCATCAGGTGTAGCCACAAAATTGATGGCTGTATAGTAGCGATCATCTTCCTGGGATAAGCTAAAGGTGAACTGATAGTCAATAAGAAGAGTATCTATGGAAAGAAAAAAAGTGCACATTTTAAACATGTAACAAAACAAAGAGCAGAGGTTTCAAGAGCCACTGACTGACTTTGTAACACATTTCATAATCTGGCTCTACCTTTTGGCTCACCTCTCACCTGGGCTGAGATAGTTTTTCCAAAGGAAATCAACTGTATGATTAACTCACCAAATTCTTATATCATGATCCTGGTTCAAATATTAGACTACAATGTAATTCAATCTACAGATAATAGCTGAATATTTATTACAAGCGAAGTGTCCCTTAAATATACAAAACACTGTCCTTTTAGACTTCCATTGTTTAAAATGAATCCACTGGGAAAAAAAAGCTTGATTCCAGGTCTGGGGCAGGAACTAATTGCTTCGGCTATTTTGTTCCAGAAAGCAAGAAGGCATTCCGTTCAGAGATTAATGTGAGGGAGCCTGAAGACAGAGCTTGAAGGAGAGCCTGATGTCACAACTGATAAAACCCTCTGGCAGGTTGTCAGAGGCAGTTAATTATGTGGGAGGAGAATGTCCATATTTCTCCTAGGGAGCACCTGGTGGACTCGAACCATGTGCCTTTGTGATTGCTGCACAACTTCTTACCACCAGGCCACCAGGGCTCCCTTTCAATCTTATACCAACTTATAAATTGAATTATATCTTTATAATTCAAGTATTATAGATGTTTTCAGTAAGTGTTAATGGAGTAAAACATGTAAAAATCCAAATATCCTTTATGTTCTGGAAAAAAAAAACCCAACCCAGCCTAGTCTCATAAATCATGTAATATCTTAGTATATGAATGACAAAAGCAACATCAAAAATGGATATAAAAACTTATTCTGCAAATAGTCTCTTCTGAAAATGAATAATTTTTTGAAGAAAATATAACAGACATCTCATTTCACATGGATTAATTAAAGCAACAGATGTATTAATTTTACAACTTTGCGTAAATGTAGTATTAATGTATTAAATAGTAACAACAAAAGAAAAATTTCAAGACTAAACCATATGAAACTAGGAAGAACTACAGGCAGTGATCTGAGATTCAGATGGCAAAGACATCTTAATCTTAAAACGTAGAAAAGATTTCAAAATGGAAAACATTAGGTATAAATCCTGATTTCTAAGTATTTGTACATTTTAAAAAAATCATAAATGACACTAAAAGACTAGTACTGTTTTGAGTTTACCAGTATTAAAATGTAATCATAATACATCACATCCTACCCAGCAATCTAGTAAAGACTTAATATAAGGATGCTGTTGTTGTGTACTGTCCAGTCAGAACCAACCCACAGTTGACCTCCAGAGACAAGAGGCAAGAGGAGCTTGCCCATCCTTCTCTTGCTAATATAAGGATGTAAACCTAAAACTTTTTCATTTCTTAATTTATACTAGTTTATTTACAAAATTTGAATACATTGTTTTCAGACCAGATTCTTCCAATTTCCCTCATCCCTCCACCCATCATATTGCACAACTCCATGATTAATCAACCCCTCCGCCCCCTCACACGTCCTCATCCCTCTGCTTCCACCCTCCCTGCCCCTTGATCTCCATATTCATTCCACAATAATGATTTTATACAATATTTGTCCTTGTAGGACTGAGTTAGAGAATTTAAAATGCTTTAAAAATAAATACTTCTACAATACTAGTTATTAAATTTTCAGTACTAGCAAAAGGAAATAAAGATAGATGCAATTTGGCCTAGTGGTAAGAAGCCCACTGGCTGTTCCATGGAAGAAGGATGGACAATCTCCTCACCTACAATTTACTGCCTCTGAAAACCTGCTGGAGGATCAGCTATGAATCAGTTTTGACTCTGGCACACAACAACAAAATGTTCATTTTAATTATTTATAACAGTGGGAAAATGCAAATAAATTAAACTTCAAAACTAAAGAATGAGTAAATCAGTGTGATTTTTATAAAGAAATAGCAGGAATTTGTTAAATAGTATGTAAACTTTATTGTTGTTGTTAGGTGCCATCAAGTCGACTGTGACTCACAGAGCTCCTTTGAACAACAGAAACACACACACAGAGCACTATCCTGTACCACTGAGGTACCTCTGAGAGCTTCCTAAGTAATTGTAGCAGCTACAGACTGACAAAGGCATAGTTAGCAGGGCCTCAGACCCATTAAAGATGGATTACATCACATCACTCCTGTGAGCAAGAAACCTGGACTAGTAGTTTTCTCTGAGGATAAATCTAGAATGAAAAGTTGAAGTAGGATGATGACAATTACCGGCTTGAGAATATCTGAGGCAGAAAAGACTAATTTGTTCAGCAACCCTGCAACTGCCAGACTTGTTTACAACTTAACTGTTTACCACCTTAATTAAAGACCAGGGGCAAGATAGAGCCTGCTTTCTCAGATGGGGTATTTGTTGGTATAAGCAGTGTCAAGCTGATTTGAAGCAGATGTCTGTGTTCTGCTCACAGTTCTTCAGTCTACAACATGTCACTTATTGTATGACGGTCCAGTGTCCAACCACCAGGACCTGGAAATCCTTGCTCGAGGACGTTCTATGGTTCTAGGTGCCTGCCTTTCTGCTGGCTAGTAACAATGGAAGATCAACCATCTAGAAACAGCTCTCAGTGAATGAATGGGTGAGTTCATGAAGCACTCTCATCTCTTGGATGGTTTGGTTCTGAGGTGTTTACACTGCCCTGGGCCCTAGAGTTTCCCGGTAGGATTAAGCCATAGTTGCCCGTCATAGAAAACTGATGATACACCTTTAGCTTGGATGCCTTGGCTTCGCTTGGCTCATTTTTGCACTGCCTGGTCAGTGTTTTCTAGAATAATCTCCCAAATAAACTGTTGCTGTTAAGTGCCATCAAGTATACAACAACTTATACTAACCCTATGGAAAACGGATCTGGACCTGAAACCCTTCCTGCACCGTCCTCACAATCTCCACCACGCTCAAGAGCACAGTCCAGTCAGTCACTCTGTCCATCCATCTCATTGAGGATCTTCCTCTCTTTCACTAACTCCCTACTTTTCCAGACAAGCTATCTTTTTTCCAAGGACTGGTATCTCTTGACAATATGCCCAAAGTTTGTGAGACAGTGCATCACCATCCTTGCCTCTATGGAGTACTATGGTTTTATTTCCTCCAAGACACAGCTGTTTGCTCTTGTGGCAGTTCATGGGATATCCAAAACTCATTACCAATACCACAGTTCTTTAGTCTTCTTCCATGTCTAAGAAGTAACTGAAAATACTGTGGCCTGGGCAAGGTGCACCTTAGTCTTCAAATTGACATCTTTGCTCTTTAGCACTTTAAAGAGGTCCTTGGCAGCAGATCTGCCCAATGCCCAAATTAACTACTGTGCTTAAATCCCTGATTTTAGTGTCTGCTCTTGGAAGAAATGCAAAACAATGATTATCAATCTTCCCAAATGCATATCTAGTTTGGATTTTTAATTTTTTTAAATAATTTTAATGAACATTTACAGAGATTTTGGATTTCCATTCATTCATTGGCATACCTAGTTTTTAACCAACTCTTTCCAAAGAACTAGTTTTCAGTATTATTGATTCCATTTATTCCACTCTATGCCTTCCTATTTCATTATTTCTGCTTTCTTTTACTGTTATCTTCCTAGTTTCTCGATTTACATAGTGAGGCAACTAATCTTGTTTGGGTTTTTAAAGATATAACTATAAAAATTGTATTTTAGATGCCATAAAATACACTTCTTGTAATGTTTTTAAATTTACAATGCTGTGCAACCATCAACACAAACAAATTAAGAATAGTTCCAACAATTCCAAAGAGTTTTCTTATGTCTACTTTTAATTAAACGCCCTTCCCACCCTAAATCCAGGCAATCACTGATATGCTTTCTATCTTTAGAAGCTTGCCTCTTCTAGACATATCATACACAGAATGCATCTGGCATCTTGTGTGCTTCACTCATATTTTACTATGTGTCAAGTTCATTCATATTGATGAATTACTGGCATTTCATTGTATAGATAACACCACACTTTGCTTATCTAATTGCCGGTTAATAGACATTTCGGCTCTAGTCTTTGTCAACTATGAACAATGCTGCTATCAACACTCACATTCGTGTCTTTGTGTGGACATATTTTCATTTCTCTTGGGTAGAAGATTCCTAGGAATGGATCCTATTTAAAAGAAATTGTTCTTACTTCCTTGTAACCTTGCTAAAACTTGGTATTGGCTTTGGATTGTAGTTATTATAGTGGGTGTATCTCACTATCATTTTAATATACATATTCCAAATGATGTAGATCAAAAGACACTACGCAGTCTATTGTCTATTTTTTACCTTGAGTTAATTTGGACAGTTTGTGGCTTGTAAGAATTTACCATTTAAGCTAATTTGTTGATGTGAAGCTGCAAATACATTAGACTTTTGGTGAAGTTAATAATGATGTCTTTCTTTCATTTCTAATTTTGTTCATCTGTGTCTCTGTCATTTTCTTGGGTCAGTCTCACTGAAAATTGGCTAATGTTGATGCTCTTTCCAAAGAACAAACTCTTTCATCAATTTCTCCATCTCACTGATTTCTGATTTTATTATTCTCTTCTTTTTGCTTTGGATTTTGTTTGTTGTCTGTCCACTGCACCCCCACCCCCAACACCTTCCTGAGTCTTAAATATAGGTTAGATTATTGGTTTCAGATCTTTACTCTTTTCAGTTGGTTTTACATCTAAGTATTGCTTTAACGATATTTAATCAATTTTGACATGTTTTTATTTTCTGAAGGTAAAACATGTTCTCAATTTCCCCTTAGTATTATTTGGACCCATTTTTTAGTGTAATCTGGCTTAATGTGGATTCTCTTATGGATTAGAAAAACACTTGGTTGGAATGCCAAACTTACCTTTCATAGTAAATTAATAATATGCTGTTTTCTTAATTTATAAAAAAGGTTATTATTGTTGCTGGTGCTGTCAAGTTGAGTACCACACATAGTGACCCTATGAACAGTGGATCTGAACTCTATCCTATCCTCTGCCATCTTCACACTTTCAACACACTAGAGCCCATTGTTGCAGTCACCATGTCAATCTACTTGGTGGAGGGTCTTCCATGCCTTTGTTGACTCTTCACCCTTCCAAGCATCATGTCCTTCTCCAAGAAATATCCCTTCTTAGCAACATGCCTAAAGTATGTGAGGTGAAGCCTCATCATTCTTGCCTCCAGAGAGCACTCTGGCTGTACCCTCTCCAAGACATGTTGTTAACATAAATCATTCCAGCAAGACTGGTAACTCCAGCTACTTTTTCACAACTCAATTTCCGATCTATATCCTGAAGTATGGTAACATGAACCAGGTAATGGCAAATAAAGTAAGATTCCAAGATAACCAAGGAAAATCCAATATATTTCTACTCTCCACTTGTATTTGCTATATATAGTAACATAAAACAAAAGCTGCTTAAAACAGTTGTCATGTATGTAGTAAACATATTACAATGTGTACATCTACAGATCAAGTTAGTGGACTTTCATGTACGGATGCTATATTCCTACAACACTTCTCATTCACAAATTAGAGTCAAGAAAACAGGAAATTTTACTGAACTACTTCTAGAAAAAGAAGAATTGCAAAAATACTTACAGTAACATGTTCCTTTGAGAGGGTTTCCCTGGTATCGATTTTCTACTTCACATCTAGGGTGATAGAAACAATGAAGATTATAGGCTTTTGCTAATTTAAAAACTAAAACCAAACTCTATATCCAACTTAAACATGAAAAGAAACCTTTAAGTAAATTACAGCTTTTTAATTAGTATCATTACATTCTGTATTGTTACTCAAATCAGGTAGATTAATGAGTATTTTGTTATTCTCCACTGTCAATTGTGTAGCAGTTCACATGACCCACTATATGAAAACAATAGTTAAACATCAGCCAGGGAGCGCTAGTGGCCTAGTGGCAAGAAGGTGCACTGCAATCCCGAAGGCACGTAGTTTTAATCCACGAGATGCTCTGCTGGAGAAGGTGGGGCAATCTCCTCCTGTGCCAGTTGCAATATTTGCAACAAATATTGGACCCAATAATTGGTAAAAAAAGGTGCAGAAGTACGGGTGGCATGTCTGACCTTTTAACTATTTTGGTACTACGGATATATATTATTGATGAGACAGTTCCCCTTTATGAAGAGTAGAAATCAGGCTCAGCCACCCTCATGTTACACCTGCTCCTTTCGCAGTCTTCTAAAAGTGCAGTTAAGAGCATTTTTCACAAAAAAAGAGTATTTTTCAAATATTCATTTGTTATTCCTTTCTTATGCCACCCTGTTTTGAAATAAAAATGAGTTTTATTTTGTTTTAAAAGGACTTTAGACAGTGTTCACTAATCTAGAGAACAAGTAAATTCTGGTCAAAAGAATTACTAATTTTTCCAATTTCAGTAAAACACAGATCTCATAATGCCATTTAAGCATGAATACCTTATCTATGAATCAGGGCTTTGTTAGGAAAAGATAGAACAAAAGTATTTTTGGAAATTTTGGCATTTATAATCTGGGAAAAAATGAAGGGAAAGCTTGTCTTAAATACTTTTCTAAGACAAGCTAATACAGGAATATTCCTTTTTCATATTCAGGGTGATTATTACCATTTGCCAATTCAGAATCTCTTTCACTTTTAGACTTAAGACATACATTTCATTTTTTGTTTTTGCTTTATTGAACCCTAAGTAAGGCTAAGAATTAATAATTTTGCTCTATTGCATCCTTGTTTAAAGGAACCGGTTTTCAAAAATCAAATGTAATCTTTGTTTAGAGTTTTTTCCCCCCACAGGCATAACCTAAAACCAATAGATGGATACACTGGTATAAAATTTCAAAGGTAGACAGAACCAATTCCCTCCAGAAGACTGTATCTCAATCACTGGAGACATTAGTAGCAGTAAAATTTGCTAACATTGTATCTGCTTCTATCAGGTCAGTGTTTTAAGTTACTACACATTTCACCTCCCTCCTTGAGAGAATTAGTATACTAAATGCATGTGCTTTATGAGATTTACCTGAATAATCTTTTCAATTTTAACTTCTCAGGAAACTAAAAGCAATTATTGTTAGTATCACTACTGACAGATGGAGTAAGTGAAGTTCAGCACTTACATGTGCTGAACCATTCTGCCAAGTGGAGGCACAGCTAGATGGGGCTAAAATCCCCAAATCTGTCTGATTCTGAGCTTACATCCCTACTTAACTCTGTTGGTCTTATGCATTTCCAAGGTCCTGCTCATGGAAAAGGACTCTGGACCCACTAATGGAAAATGTCTAACAAACTTCACCCAGGATAATCCAATCTAGAGCAGGCAAGAGCACATTAAAAGCCGTAAACTCATCTCCACCATCAGGAAGCCAAAAGGCCAAATTAAGAACCATGATTTGAAAAAAAAAAAAAAAAAGAAGGAACCATAATTTGAACATCAGTCCTTACATAGCTAGCCTTTGCAAAAGGGTAGCAAGTTCCTCTAATGTAAGGAAATGGGAGTCACTGATCATTTTTAAAAATCCAGATTGGAAAGTGGGAAACATCAGTGTTACTGAAACACAAAAATGTTAATTTCAGACCATCAAAGAATTGCTCCTTAACCTGCAGGCCTCCTGAGTTTGGAGGCTGACCAAATCAGACATAGGATATTAGAAAGAGCAAAATATCAAATCAAAAGACCCAGTGATTCCTGGAAACTAGGCAGAGGGGCGATGGTGCCTCCCATAGAGCTACCTGAACACCCCTTGGTCCTACCTATTGGTGCAAATACAGCTAACATTAATTTCCAATCACTTAAATCCAGGCTTAACCTGTGTCAGGGGATCGGGGAGTATGGTACTCACAGCTGGCACTCGTCCCCCTTGACGCCCTTGGTGGTACAGAAGCACTTGCCCGTGTTGGTATTACACAGTGATGCGTGTCCATTGCACTTGCATGCTGGGGAGAAGAAGTGGAGGTGACAGTTGGTTTAAAGGTTACAAGTACCAGAGGCTTCCCTTAAAAGCAAGTATTTCTATTTGAATAGAGAAAAAGATTAAAATAATCAGCTGCTGTTTTGACCTTTATGGCAGACTTTAAATTTTTTTTTATTATCTAGACAGGATAAGTCTTTCAATCATTCTTACAAATATTTATGAACTATCTCCTGTGTCTCAGGCCCTATGGGGGTGGGGGGGATGCAGATGTAGTACTGTCCTCATGGAGATGCTTGGAGGGGAGGGCTAGTCTAGCTAAGGGGCTTTCTTCTCCTAAATCACAACAGGGTTCCAGAGTGGGACAGGATTTTAATAGCAAAGTCCTTTACTTACAGAAGACAATTCCTCCCATTTTCCTCTTGCTATTTCACATGTTCCTCCCTTCTCCCTCCCAAATACTAAATGTGAATAGTTATAAATCTTATTCTCTAGTTGAAAGAAAGAAAATATTTTGCTTAATATCTTTTAATTTTATGCTATAATTTCAAGTGAATAAATAAAAAATATTAGGCTGGGGATACTTTTTAATTCAGAGTTCATAAGGCATTTTATTTGCACTGTGTATTACATCCCTAGAAAAATAATCCCACGGTTTTCCCTCCTGTGTGTTTTCGTCTTGCTCCTTCATTCATGGTCCATGATGCCAGCTGAGGTTGTCAGCCACTTTTCTAGATCTTTGAGCTGCACATCAAAATAGGGGTTGGTCACGCCACACTTGTTTAACCTGCCTGTGAGGCTGACAACAATTTCCCCGCTCTGTGACAGTCAATGATTTCAAATTCGCCAATGTAGCCATGCTCCATCATCACCATTAGGAACTAAACTATGACTTGGGAGCACGGCCTGATGAGAACCTGGTGCTTGCCTCTCTTCTCAGCATTGCTGATGCTCTTGAGAGTGTCAGACAGCCCATTCACGTGCACCATGTGGCAGCATGGAAAGATGGCGGAAAAAGCTAAATTTAATTTTTAAATGCACAATCACGTGAGCTCAGTGCTTTCACGTCTATAGATAAAATACACTTTCCAAGGAATGTGAAAGATATTTTTACTAAATACCTTTAAATTTGAGTGAGGGATTTTACTACAGAATGATGGGAAATTACAGTAGATGGGAAATAATATCTGTAAACATCTATGACTGCTGACTACGTCACGCAATGCTTTAATTATTTTAATCTTATCAGCCTCTGTATTATTTTCATTTTACTGGAGGAACAGAATCCCCATGAGGTTACGGGACCTACTGCTTGACTGCTGCCTCTATTCTCTGTGCAGGGGTCAGTTTCTGAGGAAATACACTAACAAGGTTAAAGGTGAAATTTTGGGGAAGCAGCAGAGATTTTCTGTTATTTTTTTCTGCTCAGATTTTTAAGTATGTTTTTATTGGAAGACTAATATATTTTTCAGTTAGAAACTAGAACAACCAAATTGGTTCTTAGGTATCTCTTGCCAGTTCTAAAAATAGCCTTTATGTTTTAACAATAAATACCCTATAGCTTGCACATATCTCAGGCAACACAGCATTCCTGAACATTGTTAAAATACATCTTAAGGAGCTCTGGTGGCCTAGTGGCAAGAAGCTGCAGCGCAATCCCAGAGATATGCAGAATCCACCAGATGCTCTGCTGGAGGAGGGATAATCTCCTCTTGTACCAGTCAGATCCGATTTGACGGTACACATACAAAATAATAATAATAAATAAAAAAGTACATGTATTTTAAGTGTAAATTAGGCAAGGCAGCATTCAAAACAACACAATGGCTTTTTTCTTCCTAGCCACTCAAGTCAGAGAGGAACTTTCTGCTCCCGGATCTGTAGGCGGTAAAGCTGACAGCTTTGACTTACGCTGACATTTCCCTCCATTGGTGGGGTCACCGTAGAAGCCTGATATGCAGGTCTCACAGTGTTTGCCTGTAGTCAGGTTTTCACACTTCTCACAGATACTCTGGTTGATGCACTTACTGTGCCCATTGCACTGGCAAGCTGAAAAGAAAAGAATGATGTTCTGAGGTGAAGTCTATGACACAGCCAAGTGGGCCAAGTTCAGCAAGATTTTATTTTTAAGCTAAAAAATAAAGATTTATTAGAACATCCTACAACAAAGATGGGATAAACTTTCCACCTAGGAAAGGAAATGAGGAGCCTATTTAGTTTTAACTATTTGCCTCTAAATACAAAATCATCAAAATTAATAAAAACCCCCTAGTTTTAGAAATGAGAGTAAATTATAAAAAAAAGAAAGAGATTCCGGGAAATTAAAAAAAAAAAATCACAGAAGATTATGGTCCATTCCAATTAAAACAATATTTGTTATTTTTAATTAAAAATCAACAGACATTCATGACAGTTAAGTTTGAAGATTATAAAGGGAAATTATAATCCCACTACCTAGAGACCACCTTTCCCATTTGGTATAGTTTTCTTTTAAATAGTTTTGTTTTCTAAATCTCAGTCTAGAGTGGTGACATAAAAAAGGACAAACAGTTCCACAGAAGAGAAAGAGAGTCCTGAGAGAGACATGAAAAAGAAATAGTCACTGAATTCTCAATGAATGTGACAAGAAAATCCAATGACAAAGACATCATTGTTTCTTCAAATAGTGCTTAGGTTCAGCACAAAAATATAAATTTGTATTCCTATCTCACACCAGACACAAATATTAGATGTAAGAGATAAAGTTATGGAACTCTTAGGAGAGGACATTGAAGTAAATATTCATCAATGGGCAGTGACTGCTTAGATATGACATTACAGCACATGGGACAAAAGACAACACTGACAACAGGACTTAACATCAATTTAAAACTTTCTTGATGGCGCCTTTTGAAGTAGAAATATTACAGCGTTGGGAACCCCACAGAGCAGTTCTGTTCTGTTCTGTACTACAGGGTCACTGTTGTTGTATGGTTGTGTGTACCACAGAGTCAGACCAACCCATAGGTTGGTTTTAAGAGGCAGTTAATCATATGGGAGGAGACTGCCCATCCTTCTCCTGCAGAGAAGCTGGTGGCCTTCAGGATTGCAGTGCAGCTTCTTGCTAAGTAGATATAAGTGTAGGCCTAGGCTTTAGTGCAATTCTTTGCATTGTTGTTGTTGATTGCCTTCAAGTCAAGCATGACTCATAGTGACCCTATGAACAAAAGGCCTGAAGCCCCTCTGTAACTATCAACATATATCAAAGTTCACAGAGTTTCTGGAGGCATGTTTTTTAGGAAGTGGATGCTACTCCTGCTTCCAAAATTCTTTGTATATCAATTATTAAAAAGCAGAACCACACAGATGTACACTGACAGACTGTCTAAGAGCCAAACATGAAAACTGGAATTCTTCCTACAAAAGGGAAAGAGATCTTTTTTGCCTCTCCCTTTCCTTAAGTGAACTTCATTAAGAAAACTTATACTTGCAAATCCTTCTTCTGCTCTTTGTATATGCATATAAATATCTCAAAAAATAAAATGAAACTCTTGTCAGCATTACAACCTAGGAAGGTTTTTACAAATGGCCTTCATCATCACTGAAATCAAGGAAGACAGCATTCCACCTCCCTGGCAACTGAGGAGTGGAAGTTAGGTGTCTTGTGCCATGGGGTAACTAACTACCCGCTTGTCACAGACATGCATTTTCTTTTTTTTCCCTTCAGATAAAGACAATTAACCACTTAATTACCAGGTGAACTTAGAATCAACTGTAAAAGAATGTATAGCAAATGGTGCTATCAAATTCTATTATTTAAAAAATATGACTAATGTCTGGAGGTCTCTATAGTAAACTATTAAAAATTTTTAGCTTTATACATAAGAATTGGAGATTTTAAAAGTCTAGCATTTATTTTATACACATGTATATGTAATTTTTTTTATAATGAGCATAAAATAACATTTTACTCCTGCCATTAAAATTACCAAAATTATTCACTTGAAGTTCTTAAAATATTTTCATTAAAAAGATTTTCACAGGAAAAAGATTTTTCTGATGGCCTAGCGGCAAGAAGCTGTGCTGCAATCCTGAAGGCAAGTGGTTCATATCCACGAGATGTTCCGCTGGAGAAGGAGGGACAATCTCCTCCCAGGCCAGTTAGATCCGATTCGACAGTAATCGACAAAAAAAAGTTTTTCACACAAAATGGTTTCTCCTAAAATGATGTCACTTACATTTAAAAATTTTTTAATCTCTACTACAATCAATTACTATAAACAATGTTGTTTTCCAGGCTTTCTTTCTTATAAAGAGGTAATAAAGCTTTAACTCACTTCTGGACACACAAGGTACCTTACCTGGACACTGAATGAAAGACCAGTTGTATCTGGTGTCCTCTAGACACATGCTGGAGTTGAGAAGGGGCTGCGGGTAGGAGGTGCTGCTCGGGATCTGTGAGGGCATCCTCACGGGTCCTTTGTAGGAGCCCTCCATGCATTTCCCTTTGCCAGTGTTGCTGGGATCAGTGCACCAGCCACAGCCTGGCTGCTCCAAACAATGACTACAGGTGCAGTAGCCTGAACAATTTTCAGCTATAAAAACAACACAAATGGCAATTTATTATCACATGTAGAGTTCAGTTCATTGTATTTCAATGTTTGTTTAGCAAGTTATGCAACTGCTATAATCCAAAATCCCTATTTTATTGTGATTTTTCAAATCAGACAATGAATTGTAAAAATCTATTATCTTGTCTGACACAAAACAGATCTCCTTCTCTCTTCTTTCAGTCCAAAAGACTGGAAGAAGATTAGAGGTCATCTACTGAAAAGGATTTACAAATTAGAAGATTAAGGGATGCACAGAGAATTAACCACTATGACACTAAAGTCAGCACATGTTTGTCCTGCAACTCTTCTTACATTTATTTATGTGTACATTGTGTTTGATTCTAAAGAAAGTTTCTCATCAGGTAGGCTTGTCTTAATGGCAGTCTCTAGAGAGATCAGAACAAAGCATCAAGTCCAATCTGAATCCCATGGCAAGACTTGTGGTCCTCCCACAGGTCCCTGACCCTGAGGAGTAGCTGGAGCTGATTTTTCACTTACGGGGGCAGCTGCTCATGGTATACCACTCCATACACTGGCCAAAAGGGAAAGAGGCCACGTAGGCATTGGAGTCCACGCACTGCTTCATGTTGCTGCACCACATGCACTCGGAGCTGCCACTGGTGCACTCCCCGCATGCCGTTCTCAGAGCACACGGGGTCCGACACTGCTTGGCACTATGGTTTGCTGGGAACAAAACACAAGCGAAATTCTCAGAGCTCTCACCAGATCGGTTAAGGCTAATGATTTTTCATATATGGGCTTGCCCAGAGAAGAGAAATCCAATCTGTGTCAACTTTTCATTTAATACTCTCACACAGCATTAGTTCCATTCTTGTTTGCTTCTGTTTTCTGTCACAGAGCTGCTGTCATCATCTTTCCCTGGTGACACTATTGTTTTATCTACTGTTCCCATAATTATCTAATTGCTTTTCTGCACTTATCTTTGTTTTTTGTTCTCTTGTCCACAGCATTTCTCTGCCAACACCCCCAAATGTACCTTTCAATGAAATTCTCAATTCTTTTTTCTGATCAATAGCCCAAAATATCTCATTGTTAATTAAAATCTTAGGTTCTCTGAGTAGTGTTAGCTATTACTTTCCCCCTATAGCTCAAATTATTCACAGCCAAAGACTCTTTCTCTTTTCTTTTAAAGTCTTAGTTGTGCTGTACTTGATATACTTAAATTCAATATGCCATCTATTTTTTCACGATTATTTCACTCATCTTAACTGTGACACTTCTGGTTTCTCTCTCAATGAACTTCCAATAACATAATCCACACATGCACTTACCAGGCCGTTCACAGACACTGCCATTGAGTGGGTTGATGCAGGTTGCAGCCTTTAGGCCCCCAGTACTAGGTTCTGACAAGATTCCACAAAACCCAGCATCACTAGGCTCAGACGGCATCCACTGTAGTAAACTATTTGTAAACGGGGACATATCTTCCCAGCACCAGTAGGACACATTGATTTTTCGTAGGCCAACCCATGGGGTCAAGGTGAGCTTGGACTGTAGGCAAAACAAATACAATTATTAATACCATCAATCTCTTGATCAAAACAAGCTTCTAGATAAAGACACATTACTTCTACTTCCCAGACACATGTAAGATCTTCCTGTCCTTTGCAGTAAGCCACCACTAGGACAGATCATTGTCACATTAGTGTCACAAGTCAAGCCCAGCATTTAATATCACTTTTTCACAGAGGATATATTAATAACAAAGCAATAATCAGACTCGTTTATTTCTACATTCTACGACAAACGTGAAGATGAGATAGTGCCTCAACTTCATTTAACTGTTCATTAACTCAGGCCATCATTTTATCAGTATTTAGGAAATGTTATGCTTATCATGGACTCTGATTAGTTCAGATAATTGAAGATTCCCATCTTTGACCAGGGGATATTGTATAGTACTGTATTTAATATAGAAAACAGGGCAATAAATCCAGGAGACAGTCTGACTTCTGTCCTCTTGAAATGTGTTCAATGAAGAGTAAAATAGCACTTTTACATTGTTTGGTCCAGAAAGGAAATATATTCCTAATTTTAGCAGTCAAAAAACCCATAAAACCAAAAAGAAGCACCCCTAATAGTAAAGAGCTGGAAATAAGCCACAGGGCCATCAATGGACAAATGGCTAAAGAACCTCTGGTACCATCATCACACCATGGATAACTATGCATCACTAAAAAATGATCAAGGACTCATGAAATACAGTCCCACACGGATTAGTCAAGAACAAATTATATTGAGTGACATAAATCAGTCACAAAAAGACAAATACAGTATAAGAAAAAGTATTATAAAAAGCTAAGTAAAGGTTTACACAAAGAAAAAATCTTGGAGGTTTACTATGAATGAGAAGAAAGGGAGTGGGAATAAAAATAAGTAACTTGAGTGACGAGAAAGGTAACATAAAGGTAATATATAATAGAGTTGATTAAACATTATGATAAATTAACCACATTAATCAACAATAACTACTGTTAACAAAAAGTCTATGAATAATTATATGAAAAAGTAATAAGATTTGTAAACCTGTTCTCAAATAAAATAATAAAACCTAACCATAAAATTAATAGATATCTTGAATTAAGGGAAAGGCAATGAAGGATTGAAGAGACATTGTAATTAATTAATTACATTAATCAATGATCATTAATGTTATAAAATATGCATGAATTATCAACTGACATTATAATTCCAATGTATAAAATCTAGACAAACAAAAAATTCATATAATTTGTAAATATTTAATTAAATAAACAAACAGAAATACACCAAAAGGTAGCTCTGGGGGTCTACTGGGCCAGGACTTGTGTTTGTCCAACCAAAGGCAGGTAGTGTGAATCTACCAACTGCTCCTGGGGAGAAAGATGAGCAATTTCCTCCCTTGTGATTTAGTCTCTGAAAACCTGCTGGAGGGTCAGCTATAAGTCAGTTCGGACTGAACAAACAGTAGATAACAAGAACAAATGAATGATGCTCTCATCTTTATTCTATATTCTAAATTTTCTTTGAAATACGTATTATTTTAAGGAAGAAAATGATGATTTTTTTTCCCCAAAAAAAGTCTCAATTTCTCTCAACCTTCTTGACAAAATTCAATGCCACTAGCACTGAAGAAAAGTCTTTGGTCTCGGTCCTGTGATGAGTATTGGCTATCTGTCTTCAGCCCAGTCATGTAAACTTATTTGTAAGTTCCCTAACAAGCCACTCTGCACGGACCTTGCACCTCTTCAGTATCAAAGCTCTGAAAGTCGGAGAGCACTCTCCCCCCTCACAGAGGGCATGTGTACTCAGAAGTGCTGTCTGCTCCTCCTCCCGGCTCCACGTGCAGAACAATGACCCAGAGCTGTGCTCCTGCTCCACGTGCAGAACGCTGCCCCAGAGCTCCACGTGCAGAACGCTGCCCCAGAGCTCCACGTGCAGAACGCTGCCCCAGAGCTGCTCTGCACCAAAGGCAACACTGCTCAAAGAACTTTGTTCTGTGATCATCTATGTATCAACAGTGGGACCACAGGTCTAAGACTGCAGACTAAAAAAGATAAGATGTAACTGTGGACTACCCATTATAAACTAGCTGAGAACACTAGAGAAACAGGTGGGACATCTGAGACATTTCTGTGCTCAGAAACTCAGCAAGAAGGTGCCCTCTTCTTTTGGGTTCACTGGGCCTAGAAAGCCTTAAACAAGTGTACATTTCTTTGTGATATTAACATTAAGCCATTAATATGCTCTGTAATAATGTCTTAAATTTGTAAGATCTAGGTGGCTTAATTCTACATGTCTAATTAGGAGACAACTCCCTTTCCCCCTAATTCTCTCTTTGCAGAATCTAGGAATAAAGTACGTGTGAAAAACATAAATTATTATTACCAGAGTTATGTACATGTATGTTAAAATTCATTCTACACATAGTTATTCATATATATAATTCACACACACACACACACAGAGTTGTTGTTGATTGCCGCCGAGTCAAGCACAACTCATAGGGACCCTATGAACAAAAGGCCTAAAGCCTCTTCTATATCTATCAACATTTATCAAAATTCACAGAGTTCCCAGAGGCATGTTGTTTAGGAAGTGGATGCCACCCCTGTGACTAACTAAACAAAGAAAGCATGAAAGGAGAAGAATCGGACAGTGACGTTCCACAGTCTGCCATTCTGCTTACTCTTAGCATTCCTCCTACAGCCAAGCACCCCATGCCCATCTCCAGCCTGACTAGCACAGCAGGACACCAGAGACAGTTAATGATCTGGAGGACTTGAACTTACCATGCTCTGTGATGACTGCATTACTCGAAGCTGCTTAAGGACAAATTCTACCTTCTTCTGGGTTGTAAGAGAAGCCAGAAAGGCATTGTGGTTCCTACAGGACAGTTTAGCATTGTCGTAATTCTCCTTGGCGGTAGTAATTTTCAAACATGAGTTTCCAACCAAATGCCAGCCAACCCCACAGATATTTTCTTTAATGAAGGGAGGAGAAAGAGAGGGGAAATGTTTTAGTGTACACACAAAACTACCATATTACCAGTTATAATTACAGTAAACCAAACTGATTTTGGTGATTCAAATTCTAAGCATTTCATGAGGATGTGGTGTGGTGAGGAGAGTGGACACATTTCTAAGGACCAAGCAAAGAATATTAGAAATAACCATTTCTCTTCTTTCCTGAATCTCAAAAAGAATATTCTGAGATCAATCACTGCCTATGTTTTAAGGGAAAAGTTTAGTGTCAATACTACACTGGTGAACCTCCTTTTGAAAAGTAACTGGAAAGAAATCTAACATGATGGAAGGGCACAATTGAAAACAGCAGCAGAAATGAATGGAGACAAATCTACAATCTCCTAAAGGTATAAACTTTTCACATCTTTAGGTAGACAGTAAATTAAGTGGCAGTTCCAAATTGAGGCTACAACTACAATATCACTAAACCAAGAAAGCTCTGCGTTAGAATTGCCACAGGAACAACCTAGGGATTAAACCAAAAAAACCAAACCCACTACCATGAAGATGATTCCACTTCTCAATCAGCAACAGCAACCCTGAAGTGGGTTTCTGAGGCTGTAAGGCTTTTCAGGGGCAGGCTGCCTCATCTTTCTCCCATGGTGCAGTTTCTGAGTTTGAACAGCCAACCTCTCAGTCAGCAGTACAACATATAGCCCATTAGTTCATGAAGGCTTCGATAAGGGCACAAAACTTGCTGTTTTCCTGAGACCCTGCTTAGGAAACCAGCAAAACGACCCAGATGCAGCCCACATGGCAAGCTGGCAGTCAGCTACAGGGGATCACAATGAACCACACCAGGTTCAAAGAAAGTTCTTGGAAGACAATGAACAGGTGGAGCAACTTTGCCAGAATCAAGCACCCTGAAGATACCATCATCAACGTCCATTAAGTAGAACAGTTGCTGAAGTAAATGGAAAATAATCATTGGAAAGAAGTATCAAAAAGAAGACAAAGACTTGGTCTTTGAAGTATAGCATCAGAATCTTTGCTCTCTGAAGTGCAGCCGTGAGGGTCCCAGGCTAGGCCTGCTGTCCTCGGGTCTGCCTTCTGGCCTGATCTCCATAGGCCTACTATGTGCTACCGCAGCTCCGGTCCTTGGACAGCTGCATGGCTAAGTTAAAGGCAGCACTTCTCTTGTGTTCTGGACCCAGCACAGCTCCTATACCATTAGCACCTTGGAAAACTCGCTGGAGGGCCAGTGAGGACTCAGTTCAGACTCGATGGCAATGAGTGTTTTTGAGGTGAGATAGTGTGAGAAGAACTGAGATGAAGAAAAAGCGGCCAGTTCCTCCAAGTTAAATCAAGTACTTGATTAAAAGAGATTCCAAAGCCCGGTCATCTCACATGGGCTTGAGGTGTAGCACAGACCACAGAAGGTGGATGAGCCAGTTTTTCAAATGGGTTCAATCTGGTTCGCCTTGGACACCTAACTGATCATCTGAACCGTAGGAGCACCACACACTAGGGTAACTGGGGCTGGAGATCACCCCAGGAGGCGCTAGTGAAATAAAGGCAGGTCTCCTCTTCATCGCCTTGGAGAAGAATGCCCTTCATAACTGCTGAAAACTCAAACCCAGTGGTTTGACCATAATAAGTACTCTTCATAAAAGATCATACTAGGCTATCATGAGAGAGCTCTGTGGCCTAGTGGAAGAAACTGTGCTGCAATCCCAAAGACATGTGGTTTGAGTCCACTAGTTGCTCCACAGGAGAAAGATGAGCTACCTCCTTCCATGCAATTTAATGTCTCTGAAAACTCCCTGGAGGGACAGCTCCAGTGAGTTGGTTCTGACTCGACAGTACACAACAACAGGCTATCATAGCAAGGTGGGATCGGGGGACAGTGAAGCTGGCTTGATGAGAGATGAAATGCCATTCAATCCCTCATAGCTATCCAAGTGCAAAAAATAGTAGGAGAAAACCATAAAACCAGTTTCTTTGGTTTTGTGGTGTTTTTTTTAAAAAACAAAAAAAAACAATAAAACAAATCCCAAAAAAAATCAATCACAAAAGTGGTGCAGGGAATAAATGATTACAATTAACCTTTCCCCTTTACTGATATCAACCTCAGCTGCACAATGCAAGGCAGGCTGGGGGGTGGAGAGGTGCATGGGGCACACACCAAGCTGCCCCATGAGGCCTACCTGGCAGGGCGATGCACTCCTGGTTTCGGAGCTCCCACTGGCAGTTCTGATCCAGGGCACAGCTCCTGCAGCTGGTCTTCTTATTACAGTAGTACATGGGGTTATCCTTGGGGCAATTCTCGTATCTGGAAACAGAGACCTAGAACACAGCAGACGGAGGTACATTTTTGTTACAGTCACAGAAAGAACTGCTAATGGCCAGCAGGATACTAAGAACAAGAAAATCTAAGTGAGGAAGCAAACTGCAAGTAAACAGTGTCACAAACACGCGGTGCAGATGAGGCAGCTCTGCGGGGAAGCACGGCAGAGGGGTGCTCTGCTCAAGGGCATGGTTTTAAATGACCAAGAAGCGGCCAGCTCATCTAAAAAATGGAAGTAAATGTTGAACTTGCTGCATTCAAATGCCTCCCAAAGAAACAGCCTAAATGTTTTCTTTTATGAACTGAATTATAGACTAGTGTAAGGAGCACAATGATGAAGCACTTGGCTGCTAAAAAGGTCTGAAGTTCAAACTCATCAATGGATCCATGGGAAGATCAGGTAATCCTCTACTGTAAAGTTTACTGCTTAGGAAACTGTAATTTCCACTATCATAAAAAGATGGCTGTGAAACACAGTGTGAATGAAGGAATGCATGAAACACAATGTATATAAATGAAATACAATGTCTATGACTATCCTATGTAAACCAATATAAAATAAAACAAACCAAAAAAAGAGTGCCCAGAGTCATAAGTAACCTGACCAACAGAATGATTAACAAAAAGCATCTTGCTAACTAATATTATGAAAGCAGGGTCACCTAATCTTTTTATTTTATACTAACCTAATTTTAAAAACTATGTAAATATTCAAGTTATGCTGAGTCAAGATACAACTCAGTTTTCAAAATGAAAATCTAGAGTTAAAGATTAGAGAAAGTGATTTTAAAAAAGATCCACAAGGTACTATGAGTCCCTAAACATCACACCCCTGTTAGTCTCAAGTTCTCACTTGTTCCCCAGACCTTACAGAAGTAGTCTGAGTTTGCAATGACCAGTTTTAGTCCAAGGATCTAGGATTTAGTCATAACTACTCCCAGATCATAACTGTTTTAGTTTTAGGTTCTTCCACAAGTTATTTGGTCAAAAAGTAACCAAGAAAGAAAAAACTGATACCCCATTATAGGCTTCAAACACCAGAGGGTATGAAACCCAACCCCAAAAGTCCTACCTTCTTAACAAAACATCAGACATAAATCTCGGTGACTGGTAGAGCCCGTGGGATTAGGGTACACTTTCAGCATTCCTTTCTAAAAGAAATTCTGGGAATTAAAAAATCCAAATCTACACCTCATTTTTAAAAACAACTCTGAGCCATTATTTATATACATCAAATCCAACCCAATGCTGCAGAGTTAGGCTTCCAAAGTTGTAAATCTTTATGAGAGGAGATGGTCTATCTTTCTTTCATGGGGAGCCAGTGGATTTAAACTGCTGATTTTTTTTTTTTTTGGTCAGCAACCAATCTTTTGTTGTTTTGTCTTAATTTTTATTGTGTGTGTGTGTGTGTGTGTGTGTGTGTACCGTCAAATTGGATCTGACTGATACAGAAGATTGTCCCTCTTTCTCCAGCAGAGCATCTGGTGGATTTGAACTGCGCACCTCAGGAATATATTCCAATATTTTGGACAAGCAACATACTTCAGTACCAAGACTCAATATACACTATAATCTCAATCCAACCCACACTAAGCTTTCTCTATCCTTGAAATCTCTGGGGACCTGTTGCTGACCTGGCCCTCTGTGCAGGTGTGGTTCGCAGGGACACAGTGGTCATTGCACCAATGGCAGTCGTTGGTGTTGGCCGTGCAGCTGTAACAATCGGTGTGCTGGTCACATCTGTCATGATCAAGCGCTATGAAAAGAGGGAGACATTTATCAATGTGGGACAGCTGCTTCTTGGAACAGTCACAGGCTGTTAATAGTTGCTGCTGAGCAGAATCTGCAAGTGAAGTGTTGTTGGTTTTTCAGATCTTTTAAAAGCTAACATAATTAAGTGGGAAATAAAATTGGCAAAAAAGTTCATTCATGTTAAAATAGTATGTGCAAATAATTAGACAATCTGAAGAAGTATCATTTTGCCACCTACACACAAGAGAAACAGTAGACAGGGAAGAAGAGTAGCAACTATAAGATAAAGTGTAAGTTAGGCTTGGATCTTTAAATACTTTTCTTCCCAAAAGGAAAAGTTGCCCAGAAGTCAAAGAAAGAGACCAAGCTAATCCCACCAGCTGTAAATGCAAGCAAGCCTATGTGGTCACAGGAAGTAGCCAACACCACATACATATATAAAACTCAAGAGTACAAGTCTGTGAATTCGGGGGCTTCTACAGACCTGCTATGTCTCCTACAACAAAAGAAAATCCAAGCACCCAAGGACACTGCATCATGACCAAATTTTACAGACTTGAAAAGGCAGAGGCCCACTCTCACAAGGTGCACTGGTCCTCACCCATGCAGACAGTGGGGTGAAATAGAACTTTAAAGGAGAATTAACATCTGAAGTGAGTTCACAGCAAATGGGTTAATATTTAATCACCTAATTCAACATTATTTCCTATAAACCTGACATAAAATTTGAACTAACATTTGGCTTTAAAAATAAACAACAAAAAAACAAACCCAAAATAAATTTATCATTTCACTGACTTTATTCCTTTCAGGAGCTAGTGACAAGCCCTGACAACCTCACGCGTGAGCTAACTCACCAGTGAACCCAGGAAGGATGCCTGGACCTTCTTACGGAGGATTACACTCCTGAATTTCTGACTTAGAACTTTCCTGGAGGGTGAAAACTGCCTTGACCACTCTTAGGGTAACTGATCTACCAATGATATACCAATACCAGCAAAGAATGCTATTAGTGAGAGCCGCCTTTATAACTTTCATACATTAATTAATGACTCTTATGAAAAACTATCATGACAGTTCAACATAGTTTAAATAAGCTGAAGTAAATATGCAGACACAATCTTCTATCTAAAGAACTTTCCTACACATTATTTCTCTGTATTACACAATTACAAGAGCAAAAGAGCAAGAAACTAAACAGCCAGAATGTAGAGTTAGGATAAGAGCAGGGCTTTCAGAAGCAGGGAGTAGCACTCTTCAGCCTCAGCAGCTATCCAACTTGTAACTAATGCCTATCCAAACAGAGAAGCTAGGAAAGAAGGTTTCACAAGGACACAAACTACCTCTGTCTACCACAACAATGCAATACAGTAAATTTCTGGTTGGATCCACTTACACTCACCCTTAACCTTAGAATTGGTAGCCACACAGTTCTTTCACATTTAAATCAGTCACAATTAAAGAAAACAATTCAGTTCCTCAGTCATAACAGACACAATTCTAGTGTCGGGGCATATGGCAAGTGGCAACTGCAAACACAAAACATTTCCATCATCTCGGGAAAGTTCCCATAGACTGTGCTGCCTCAGAACAACTGCAACGAGGTCCTCAGGTCGATGTATGAAGCCTATGTGATGCCAAGAAAGTTCCTCCCCTTCCTCTGCAGACAGGTGCTATGAGTTATACAGTATGCCTGCATCCATTGTAAAGATATTTATACATCAATTTTCAAATACCGTGAAAGGCTTTAGACAAGCTTTTACTAAATGGTTTTAGATAAAGTATTTACTTATGTTAATAAGTTCCCTCACAAGTCAGATGGGAAAAACACTTCAAACAAGCTTTAAGGGATATATGACTTAAAAAAAAAACCCCAAAACAACAACAACAAAACACCACCAACCCCAAACCAAAACAATCAACAAAAAGTAATATCTTAAAGTAACTCTTAAATAGAGAGGGGAAACTTACTTCTTTTGGAAAAACATTCTGATTTTAACTTTTCTTCTGGTATGTCTGCCAAGTCCCAGGAGATACACTGAGATGAGCCTGTGTCCCACACACACCGGATGCCGGGTCCTGCTGCCTGACAAGCAGCTTCGCTTCGGTGGGCTTCACACTGCTCTGACGTGAACACCAGCATATCGCTGAGGAGGAGACTGTTGAAACCGCCAAACACATACATAGTGCTAGGAGGGGAGGGAAAAAAGAGAAATCATTTACCAAACAATAGCAAATACATGACATAGTTTTTAAAATCTTCAGACAAACTTTGCATACTAAAAGCCCTTTATGAAATTCTTTTCTCATACCCTTTGGTCTCCAACGCCACCCTTGCATCCTGGCCTGTGATCACCAGAACTCCTCCAATATCCCACTATTCTGTAAACTACGATGTTACAAAGTCCTCCCAGTAACTTGACTTTTAGCCATGACTCTCTGGAATACCTGAGCACACTCTGACACATCTGCAAAACCCTGTAATAAAGGACATACATGTCTAACATTGGAAAATCTCTGTGAGTGTGTGACCTAACATAGTCACCACAAGAGAAAAATCCTATCTACCTAAACAGTATCATTTATATGAAATATCTAAATATAAAGAAATTCATGGACACAGAAAGTAGATTAGTGGTTACCATTGGCTAGGAAGAGAAGGCATGAAGAGTCAATGGACAATAGCTATGGTATCTGTAAATAATGGAGAACTTAAATACATAGGTAGAGCACCAAAGGAGGCAATGTCTAAAGACTGGAATGGCAGTTTGAAAGGAATGACTCAGAGTGGAGACTATCAACAAAGAGGTAGACGCTATCAAGTTTAAGAAAAAAAAAGGAGGTTGGTGTGTCAAAATCAGTGAGACTGGCTCAGGACAGAGCAAGCTTCAGAGTTGCTGTACACAGGCAACTCGACAGCATGTAACAACAACAAACGATCAACTTTATGTTGAAAACCTAATAATATTTTAATAAAATATTCAATTATTTGCCAGCTGTTTACACTGTCCTAACAGCTACCATTTAACAAATGCCTATTGTGTGCTAAAATGTTTGCTAGGAGGCCACTAAGAGAGAGAGAGAGAGAATGAGGTAATCCAAAGGCCAAAGTGATGAAAAAGGGTCCTGCTGCATCTCAGGTAAAAACATTAAGGGACACTTGGTACAAAATGTGTAGGATCTTTAGGGAAGAAGTATAAGATTACAATTTAAAACAAGATTTCAAATTAACAAATTTGTAAACAAATCCTTCAGTTTTAATCTACACTAACAGTAAAATCATATATACTGCTAAATTCCAGCTAAGCAATTTCTTTCAAAGAGATGTTACCTTCCCCCAATTCTATATATTCTGTCAATTCATATTTCCAAGATTGATCTATTACTTATCATCAAAACCAATTTTGAAAGTCAAAGGAATTTATCATAATGCAGTATTATAGCAATTAAATACTTTTAGGATTTATAAGGCCCATCTGAAGCACCTGTTCTGTTGTTGATTTAAAACAAAAAAAACACCAAAACCTTAAAATCACCAAAACCCTAGAAACTCTCCTTGCTTTTCAGATGTGACTCTCAGAAACCTGGCAACGCAAGCACCACAAACAGAAGAGGTCATAAAGCAGTAACATGTGCACATCTGCATCTCGTTACCTTATGTATTCAGACATCAAACATTAGAAGGATGCTGATTGAATATAACCAGATCAATGAACCAAACAATGGAGGTAATTAAAATATTCATCAAAAACATTAAGCACCAATCAGGAAACTCACACCTACATAAGTCTATAAAAATTATTGGGATGAGGGACTCGTACATAACATAGAAGTCAAATTTCACATCTTCATATTTTACTTCATTTCCATTTCAGCACCTGAAAGAAAAGGAGGCAGCACTTCTCCAATTACCTGTTGTACAAGACTGCAGAGTGGCCAAATCTGTTGACATCGTGATGGAGACCAGGTCTGGGAAGCACTGACCAGCGGTCACAAGCTAAGAGAAAGAAAAATGCACGTCAGAAGGGAATGTCATTCATAATCAGTAAGAACTGAATTTCGTTGCAAAAAAAAAATGGCAACCTTACAAAGTAAGTCTCACTTCATTTTCTTACCCATATCATTACTTACGGAGTGAAATGCAGCTTTAACTGAAGAACAGGGCATGAGAGAAAGGCAGGGCTGTACAACAATTCATTGCAACATGTAAATGGAACCCATCTCTAGGACTTCTGCATCACTCACCCTAGTGGAGCAATTTGACCACTAAACTGGTTTTTTTTTTTTTTAACACAAGCAAAATTTGTACTTCATAAAGATGGTGGGCTCCGTAATTCTTTTCCACTGCTGTAGTCCGTAGTGAGCTGTTCTGCTCTCCCAAAGGCTGTATCTGGTGGTTCGAATCTACCAGCAGCTCCTTGAGAGGAAGCTGGGCTGTCTCCTCTTGCTGTGAATTACAGCCTTGCAACCCTGACGAAGGGTAACTGTCAGTCAGAACCAACTCAATGACAGTGAGTTTGAATTTTCAGAGTTTTACGTTGCTTCGTCCTCATTTAGCAGAAATAGAAAACAGAGAAGGAAAAGTAAAATCCCAGAAATTAAAGTTCTTGACTAGGTTCTCTTGAGTTAATTCTTACTAACCGTAACTTATAGGGCAGAACAGAGTGACTGTAGCAATGGGCTTGAGTGTGTTGAAGAGTGTGAGGACGGGACAGGACCAGGCTCCAATCTGTTGTTCACAGGGTCACTGTGACTTGTACTCAACTCAATGGCAGCTAACAAGAGGGTTCCCAGGCTGTAAACTTCATGGAAACAGATCACCAGGTCTTTCCTCCCACAGAGTGGCTTAGTGTTTTCCTACTACAAACCTTTCAGTTAGCACCCAAACACCCAACCATCATGCTACCAGCATCCCGTCTGAGGTCTCCTAGTCCCACTCATCTTCCTTTGTTTGGAACAACGTGAGCCGCTGTCTTCTGGACCATCGCAGCACCTGGTGCTGTGGTACCTCTCCAATCTTACACTTTTGGGGATGTTCAACCACTGACACTTGTTCACTCAGTTTTTTCCACTCAAATAAGCCTAGACACTGGTCTTCCTTGTATGGAGAACAGAGGTGATGGGACATAAACGTCCTTCACTTCTGGTCAATCCACTCACTGTATCCTTCCCAAAAGCCACTGTGCTCCTTACTCTTATGTTCTCTCCCAGATGCAACAGTTTCTATCTCCACTCTGTTGAACTTCCAGCAGTCTTTCTGTTGCCTTTAATTACAACATGTTCAAGGAGGATGGTGCCTCATGATAGGGTGAACTTCAGATGTGTTGTTCACAGGGTCACTATGAACTTCTTGTGGGCATGTTTCTTGATTGAAACAGTCAACACTCACTGTATACTTTTCACCTCATCCGGTGTCTTCACTTCTAGGCCCAGGCTTGGTAAAAAATTACCATGACCCACATGAGGTACTGGAACAGGCAAGATGCTCTCCTCTTCGCTCATTCAAAACACGTAACAAATAATCCTCAATTCCTAATAGTTTTCAAACCTCCTTATTTCTTTTCCCACATTACTATTTCCACAGTTTGGGTTCAAGCCCTCATCACCTCATCAGGACTTCAGCAAGAGCCTTCTAATTATGGGCATATCCCGTTTCAATTATGACAATACCACTAAGGAGATTCTCCTAAGACACAATGTATATGAACCTGTGAATCATCTGAAAGATTCTTTATGGGTCCACACACCATGATCTGACAGCTGTTTTCTCCTCAAGCATCACGTCAGGGCACGTCACCCTAATGTGCAGACATAATTAACTCCTCACAGGCCCAATTATTTGCCCATGATCTCTACCACTTTTATCTCTGTACATGGGCTTCCTCTGCCTGCGTCAACCTAATGTTCCCTTGCTAACTTCTCAGTGTCTCTCAGAGACTAGTCTCTGCTCAAAAAGGCATTCTCTCACCATGCTCCTCTCTCCAGTCAGAACTAAGAGGTACTCCCAGGTGCTCCTCTACCCTCCTCTGAGAGGCAGGAACACTCTGATTGCAGTGATAACGATGCTCACTCCTTAGCTTCCCCTACCAGGAGGTCAAGGGCTGTAACTTCATCATCTCACCATCTGTACTATATAAACTCAGTGGGTGCAAGTAAATGTCTTAAAAGGAACACCTGATGATCGTACTTGTTTTCTATAAAGAAATACTGCCCTCTTCTGGTAAAGTACGTTACTGCATCAAAGTGTTAACATTTCATACCAAAGCATACAGGAATATATGCTAAAATAGCTTTCTAGGTAATGAAATAACCAATGCTGGCAGTCGCAATTACACAGCACTAGTAGGTAAGACACTGTTAACAAAGGTAGCCCAGCCAGCCCAAGTCATTCTTAAAAAATAATATTCAAGCAACTAAGAGGTATGATTTCAGAGAATTTAATGTGTAATACTGCTTTTAAATAGATATATATTACTCAAATGGGGGGGGGACGACCCCAAACTATTCAGATCTCTTTCAGACGACCTGACAATTTTTGAATTGGTGATATTTTTAGAGTATTTTAAAATGCCACATAGAGATGAAAGAAAAGATTCCTGCAGTCAGAATGGCTCTGGGAAGCTTACCAATATCGTAAGCCATGAAATCAGAAGAGAAGCATTTGGCACCATGGCTCATGGACGTGTCATTGTGTGTGTTTCCTCCAAACACCAGCATGGTTCCACTCACAATCACAGCTGTATGCAAGTAACGGAAAAACCGGCTGTCCTTAAGAATGGTCCTTTTGAGTTTATTTAAAAATAATAAACACACAGTTAGTTTTTAAGAATATATGTTTTCCATCCATAATACAAACACAATTATTGTAATAATTTAAGACCCATATGTTCAAATACTTCCAGACGTTTCTTTCTATGTAAGGAACTGCTCAACAACAAAGAAATATATACAAGAAATCTTAAAGCCATATTATAAGGATTCTGGGAAAACATATTCGCAGCCTTAAAATGTTCATATTCTACCACAACTGACCTAAACAACTGAGTCCCAAGGCATGGAAATGTATTCTTTTACTATAGCATATTTGAAAATAATAAATGCTGTTCTGTATGAGTGTATGTGCCAGACAGACCTGCAGCTATTTTATCTTTACTAGTTTTTATGACCTAATAGTAAAAACTTTCCCTGCAATTTTTAAAAGTAGTTTATGTTGCTTTTATTACAAACAAGCTACAGATATTTGCATATACAATTATTCTTTGTTCTTAGTGGAAAATACAAAGTATAAATACAATGTAAAAAAAGGTTCATATTCTGTGATTCTATAAGTTTAATTTCTGGGTAGAAATAAAGTGCAGTCTGAAGCTTATACAGAACACTATCAATAAGACAAAACTGGACCCCAAACATGGGACACAAAATACTCACAGGAAAAAAAAAAAAAGAATACTCACAGGAGAGTATTAGATAGGCCCTAAATAATGATGACATTTTTAAAATGAGAGAATACAAAATGGTACCCAGAACACTGCCTCAAATACGGGAGAAAAATATGAAAAGAGGAAGTAATCATTACAATCACATTATTTCACAATTTAAATTGGTCTTTTACTTGTTTAAATGATCATAGCTTTTCATTTGTAGACTATTATATAGTTCAGAAGGAGCTCTAGTGGCCTGCTGTGTAGACATTTATGCTACTAATTCAAAGACAGGCAGTTCAAATCCACCAGCTGCTCCATGGGAGAGAGATGGGCAATCTCCTCCTGTGCTATTTCCAGTCTCTGAAAGACCTACTGAAGGGTCAGCTATGAGTGTGTTTCAACTTGATGGCAATGAGCTGAGTTTGAGTTAAGTGTTTCAGAGGAACCTCTACTGGTTACTGACATTTGCTTTTATTGTTATGTAAAGAAAGAATCTGGTGATTTGATGGAATAACTGGTAACTAACTGATTCCAATGACTTAGTGGTAATCTATCTCAACGATAAGAAGTTGATTATCAACAAAAGGACTGAAAAGGATGTTTTTTAAAATTATAAATAAGTGCACAAACTCAACTAAGCAAAACTTATTCTTTATGATGATGAGGAGAAAAACTTTTACAGGTACACTAAGTACGTGAAAATTAAAAAAAAAAATCCGTTAAAAAACACTCAGCATTTTCTAACCAGAAGACACCTGCTACAAAATTATAGAATGTGGAAATAAAATAAATATTGTTGTTTATCATCAAACTGGAATGGACTCATGACCCTTAAGTTTTCAGAGGCAGTAGATTACGTGGAGGATTCTGTCCATCTTTCTCCCATGAAGCAGCTGGTGGATTTGAACCATATGCCTGTGGACTGGCAGCAAAGTTCCTTACCTAGGCCACCAGAACTCCCTAAAATAAATATTAGCTGAATAAAACAATCTGCCAGGCTTTAAAAAAAATAGCCCAATAGTTTCCTACCAATTACCTCTACAGAACTCAGACTTAAGAATGAAAGCACAAAATAAGTGACCACACACCACATCCTGGAGTCCACATCATATCTGTAGAGGTCATCTGCAAGCCGGTATTTATTGGCACTGAAAGCCTTGTAGCCTCCATGGACATACAGGGCCTTGGTCTTGGGGTCGTAAACACTGCTGTGGCCATAGCCCCCTTGCACAAGGGCACCCTGGGTTTGTAATATACTCCACGTGTTCTTCTCTGGAAAAAAACAAAAAAACAATTAAAAGAAAATGCTGCAGTATCCTCACATCTAGTAATTAAAACAAAACAAAACAAAACAAAAACCGCAAACAGCCTTAGGAGACTTGACATGCACAAGTTGTTGTTTTACTGACTGCCATCAAATCGAGCATGACTCATATTGACCCTATGAACAAAAGACGTTAAGTCTTTCTATAACTATTGTCATTTCTCAAAGTTCAGAGTTTCCAGAGGCATGTTGTTTAGGAAGTGGATGTCACTCCTGCTTCCAAACATGTCTTAATCTGGGCATTCCATGAAACACCGTGCACCATGGATAACCATTATGGCATTCAGCACCCCAGTGGCACAGAGTTCAGCATCGCAGCCACTCCAGGTTACCTCAGTACAGCAAACTGACAGACCAGTGCTGCACCACTGAGAAGAACGTTCCTGTAAATTATAATTACACTAGGCCACAGGCCCAAGGGCCCAACCAACTTTTAAATACAAAGGCCCTCTAGGAAGTGATGTTGAGTCTAAACAAGAGGCTTAAATAAAAAAAACAACCACATATTCCACACAAACCAAAACAAGAGAGCCCTCCTTTCAGAGTGATTGCTTCCCTCAGTGGGCTAAATCTGCAACTTGGTTTCACTCTAGAAATTTTTATGCACAAGTAATACTTTTAAAAAATTAATTACTAAAAAGTCATCTAAAACTAAGAACAAAGTCATGTGGCTAAGTTCCAATCTTGTAAATGTTTCAATGTTCCTTTTCATTGGTCTACTGTCCTGCAGGAATCACCTTAAACAGAAAAGACTCAGATTGCCATCCATGCTAGTTAATGACAAAGAGACATAGCTAAAGAGTCAAGCATAACAGGAATTTTGCTTTATTTTTCTCTTAAATCAAGATAAGAAAATGCTACTTACACTCTTAAGTTTTCTAGGGCTACTTTCTCAAATTAACAGTTACAGCTAGTATTCCTATTCCACAACAATGTATATAATAAAGTTTAACCAAAGGGAAAAAATGACATACTAAGGAGAAATTACATCCCACTGAACCCAGCCCTAAAAAGCTATCCAAATATTTCTTCTTCAGACTACTTGTTTGTTTTAAACCATTTTTGCTGCAAGAAAGATTTGTTGTACATTACTGAAAAGATAAAAAAGAAGTATTCTACATTTTATAAAACTTGCTAATTTATAAAGGATGTGAAAATGTTACTCAGTTCCAAAGTATATGAAGGTAATGTACAAAGAAAACAAATGGTTAACCTAGGGAGAAACAGACTTATTCAATCTAAATGTAAACAGACGGAGAGGCTCCAAAACAGACACCATCCAGAGGCTGACTCTGAGTGAGTTTAACTTTGGGTCTTTATTTGAAATGCCTGTATTCCACTTAGCATCCAGAGTCACCAGCTGCTCCACAAGAGAAGATGGGCAATCTCCTCCGGTGCAATTTATAACCTCTGAAAACCCGCTGGAGGGTCAGCTATGATCTGGTTCCAATTTGACGGCACATGACAACATATTACTCATCCATTCTCTTTGAGAAGAAGCCTGGTGTATTAAAATTTCTTATTTCTTATTGTGTCCAAATTTTAAAAGTATAGTTTAAAAATATTCAGTAAGATGACATGCTTTCCCAAATATTTTCATAGTTACTCAAAAGATATTAAGCAACAACTATATACGTGGACTATGCAATCAAAGATCTAAAAACATTTTGGCACAACTTATTTTCTTGATATAATAAGTTTACACTTATTTTTTAATTACACAGACTCAGCTCATCTTAAAAAAGTTTTCTACGAACATTGGTGTGCAAATCTCAGTTTGTGCCTCAGTTCTCATTTTCTCAGGGTATATTCCAAGTAGTGGAATAGTGATCTCAATTTCTACTGCTACTAGAGTAAGTGGTATTGATTTCCATCTCTCTAATTGCCAGTGACTTTGAGCATTTCTTCCTTTGTCTGTCAGCCTTTTTGAATGTTTCCTCTGTGGAAAATCTTTCCATGTCTTTTGCCAATTATGTAAGTCTTTTTCTTGTGGAGGTCCTGTATTATTTTTATAAACTTTCGTTATGAGACCTTGTCTGAGATAGTACTGCCAAATGATTTTTGCCAGTCAAGTAGGCTTTCTTTCCACCCTATGGAAAAAGGTTTCGATGGGCACAGGAACTTAATCTTTAGAAGGTTAAATTTATCAATGTTATTCTCTCCTGTTTGTGCATTTCTGGGTTTATTTGCCAGCCTATTTTTACCACAGGCTAGGCCTTCTAAGTTTGATTCCATTTTTTCTCTTATGATCTTTATAGTCTGGGGTTTTACCCCTGTGTATGGAGTGAGGTATGGATCCTGCTCCAGCTCTCTGCAATTAGCAGTCCAGTTTTGCCAGCACCATTGCTTGAAGAGGCTGTTGTTTCCCCATTTGACAGGTTTGTTTCCTTGTTGAAAAGCAATTGATTGTAGGTGGGTGCTGTACCATGAACTACGTGTCTGCAATAGTACCAGTGGGATGCTGTTTTGATTATTATGGCTGTGTAGTAGGTTTAAGATCATGGACAGCAAACAGTTAATGTTGGAGAGGATGTGCAGTGATTGGAACTCTCACACACTGTTGGTGGGGTTGGTGCCACCACTGTGGAAGGCAGTTTGGCATTTCCCCAAAAAGCTGAACATAGAAATTCCATATGACCCAGCTATTCCACTGCTAGGAATATACCCCGAGTAAATTAGAACTGAGACACAAACGGAGATCTGTACACCAATGTTCATAGAGACGATATTCACAATCACAAGAACATAGAAACAGCCCAAATGTCCACCAACAAATAAGATTTTGGGGGAAAAAACCCAAGATTTTGAAATTGTGGTACATTCACATGATGGAATACCATGAAGCACTAAGGAGCAATGATTTAGAAAAAAGAGCATTATGCTGGAGGACATTAAGCTGCATGAACTAACTCGGTTTCATAAGGACAAATACTGCACAAGACCATTATTTTAAAAATAGAAAGATAACTAGTAAGATGTATATGGAAGTCCAAGGGGTGAAAGGGAAGGGAAGCGGGGGGCTGAGTGAGGGTGGACAGGGGAACATCACGGGGTCTCAGAGTTTGGTGGATGAAGAGAGAGGATGAAGAAATTAGGCGAGATCTAGTGGGGACCTGATGGGCAATGGTGGGCAAAGATCAATGGTGATTTATTTTATAAAACATAATGTATGGGAATGAACAGATGAAACACAACGTGAATGAAGGAATGTGTGAAACACAATGTATACAAATTCTGCATGCAAGCCAATATAAAATAAAAATTTAAGACACACAAACAAACAAAACCACCTCAATTTCCTTATGTTTACCTTGTAAATGTTATTTGCAATGCCCAGGGCATTTTGGGTCATCTTAGGCTCCTTGTCAAAATGACCATTAGCAAACATATACATACCATATACAAGCATCATCACTAATCTAAATTTACTTATCAATACACCATTAACTGAACTTCAAGACTAGTACTGGCACAAGGTTGGGCTGAACTCTGCTAAAGAGTCATAACAGTAAGATTAAAAGTTTCAACTTTAACATTCAAAAAACACCCACTGGAAAAAATATACCTACCCAAGTCATATTCCTGCACACTGCTTATATATCCATAGAGAGGGCAGTGACCAAAGATGACCAGCATGACCAGGCGGTCATTTTTCAATTTAACAATGTGTGCAGAGTGACCAACCACAGCATACTGCTCCTTTGCTTTCGGGGCCAACAACACCCAGGATTCATTATGAATATGAAACACTCTCAACTCATTGGTCACATTTCCTGTGGCATCAATTTTTCCTCCGTACATATAAATTTTATTCTAGGGAGGAAAAGGTAAATAGAATTAAAAGAAAACATTGAAAAGACAACATCTAGGAGCAACAAAGGATTAATTAAAACTTTAATACTATTCTTAAGTGTTGGCGAAATGCATCTTTCAGTAAATTATTAGGGAAAAGACACAAAAAATGCAAAAATTAAATTTAATTATAAACAATCTTTTTAATACTTCGTTAGAACTTTCTCTCATTTTCTCATTTGAGAGTATATACAGCACCATAATCAAAATAGTCAAGATATGATCTGAATCCACTAAAATCTTTCACAGTACCAATTTACTTAAAATTTTTAAAGTCATAGTACCACCCAATGACAAATATATTTCCTCCAATTAATTAAAAGTCAACACAGAATAGCTTTTCAACTGCATAATATAACAACTGGGGGCGGGGGAAGCATCAATATTTTACTTAGTACAGAGCAGAGACACTTTACCTCGTGTAATGCCAAAGAATGACCATATCTAACCACCACATTGTTCACAGAACGGTTCAGGGTAAGCCACTCCCTGGAAGCGAGATCATACCTACAAAACAAACAAGTCAAATTTTAAACCAAATGGTCACTTGTTTCTGATATAATCTAGGTTAGAGAAATTCATTACATCTGTCACCTTAGGAAACATGCACCTCTGGAAAATGAAACCTACTGGAAGTTTCCAGTAAGTCCCCAAAATTTCTTTACACATAAGCTAAATACCATCATCTCAAGGTTTAATTACATCCAAAGGACTTGAACTTTCAATATGACTTCTTTTTCTTAAATGATGATAGTTAAATAAACGAAAATATCTAATAATTCCTTTTCCTTTTCTCCTTTTTCTTGATAAAAAAGTATCTTTAAAATAGCAGAAATATTATTATGACATTTCAATTACAGAATGAATATGTTGTTGTTGTTGTTAAGTGCCGTCGAGTCGCAGACGACTCATAGCGACCCTATGAAGGCGAGTCCTTGACGCTTGGGTGCCTTTCATCCTCTCTCCAAGTTCATAGGGTTTCCGGAGGCAAGCTATTATGGAAGTGGATGCTACTCCTCCTTCCACACAGTATGAATATACTTAAAGATATTTAAAATAAAAAAAGAATTCCTCAACACAGCATTAGTCACATTTAACATAAACAGGATATTCACTTTTATTATGTTTTTAAGGAATATATTACTCTATTATTTAAAAAAATCACACATACTCATCATAAAGACTGTAATAAATAAGAAAAAAACTAGTTCAAAACTGAAAGTTTTAAAAATGACTCTACATTCCATCCCGAAAAGGAATCACTTAGTAAACATTATTCCAGATATTCTTCTGTGTGTGCACGCGTGTGTATATGTACAACCACACCCACCCACCTATATACATACGTCAAATCAGTGTACATGTTTCTTTCAGTCACTGTTTATTATTCTTCTCCATAATTATTCCCCCCAGACAATTCCTCCAAGTTTTAGAAAAGGTCTGGTTAGCCCAAGACAGAGGGGTTTCCCAGGATGTAAGATTTTCAGAGCTAAAAGTAGAGAGTATCTGGGTAGGCTGGAATGTGTAGTCACCCTACAGGGGCTGTCCTCAGGAACAGGAATGGCCTCTCAGGCATTTATTGGCAAGACAGCACCAATCTGTTGGAGGACTTCTCGAGAGAAAAGGGCAGGCTACGAGCTGGCAGCAGTGAGCAATAACAGCAGCTGGCAAATCGGAACACCAGTCAGTTAAGGGGGTTTCAACAAGGCATGAAGTAGGATGCTTGGAAATGAGAGGAGTTTTCATTATCAAAAACAGTCTAGAAGGTGACCATGCAACTGCTGGGTTCAAGTAGAGGGGCCTGGAGAGACATGACTAGTCCTAAAAGAATGTTGGAAGCATTGACTAGGTTGTCTGGCAAAGAACTAGCAGAGGCTGTTAGCTCTTCTTCACTCAGCAGAATGGAGGCAAAGAGGGCTTGTACAGATTCAACCTAAAATTTGATACTGGAGCTAACTATGCCACTGTCGGCGCTGGGGGACAACTCTCCTGAAGAATTCACACTCAGCTCAGGCTGTGGGTTCCAGCTTGCAAAAAGTGACCGTGTTGTGTGCTCAGGTCCTCAGGTTCAAAGACTATTAAGATTAGTGGAAGACAGAATATTTAGGCTGTCAGAGGGCCAGACATTGAAAAAAAGGATTAAGAGAGATAATGAAATCACAAAGTATTAGGAAATAAAGATGAAAAGGATGACAAACAGGAACTAAGCATATGGTGTTTACATTCTCATGCCCAGACAAATACTCACAGCTAGATACTACATGACTGAATGCCTGCCTCCTCTTGTAAAAACTGACTCCATTTTTAAATTAAAATATAATTAGTACAATTAAGATGCAGAGACTTTTTCCTTCCATGAGTTTTGACAATTATCTACACCAATGTAACATTTTGAACATTTCATCACTTGGAAAGTTTTCTCATACTTTTTTCAACCAATTCCCTTTCTTTCCACTACTGTTTTGAATTATTCTCCCCTTCCAAAAATACTTTTTTGCCCCTTTTTGAGCTTTGTATATAAAAGGAAATGCATAGCACTGCCACTTTGTACTCTTTTGTGGTTGGCTTATTGTATGAAAAAAATATGTTAATAATATTAATACTCAGATATAATGCACATACAATTCACTCTTATATATTTACAGAACTGCGCAATGATCCCAAAGGAAATGCCATCCTCATTGGCTGTCACTCCCCATTCTCCTCTTTCTCTGGACCGATACGCAGTATCACGATGGATGGAGAGGAAATGGAAACTGTCAACACCTTCATCTTTCTTGAATGTACACCCCTTGATACAAGTAGTCAAGAAATAAGGAGACACATTGCACTGGGAAAATCTGTAGTTAGGAACCTTTCCAAAGTATTGAAGAGTGGTGCCTCACTAAAGTGTGTCTAATTCAGGCCATAGTCTTTCTGATTACTAGCTATGCATCCAAGACCTGGACAATAAATAAGGATGACAGAAAAATAATTGATGCCTTTTAAACTGTGGTGCTGGAGAAGAGCACTGAACATCTCATGGATGGCCAGGAGAACAAACAGGTATGTCTTGGAGAGGGTGCAGGTGGAGTACTCTTTGGAGGCAAGAATGATGGGCATATTCCTAGAAGGGGCTATTCCTTGGAGAAGGGCATGATGCTGGGAAGGGAAGAGGGTCAGAGTAGGAGAGGAAGACCCTCAACCAGGTAGACTGATACTGTGACTACTGCAATGGGCTCTTGGGTGTCAGGAAGTGTGAGGATGACGCAGGATAAAAGAGAGTTCAGATCTTTTGTTCATAGGGTAGCTATGAGAGTTGTGCTTGACTCAACAGCATTTAACAACAACAGAGCAATAGATTTGTCTACTACAGAAATTTGATACACATGGAATCAAACAATGTTTGGCTTTTATGTCTGGCTTTATTAACTTGCTTTTAAAGGTTACTTATTAGTTCTCCATTCCTTTGACCAAAGTAATATTCCACTATATAGATATAGGAAGCGCTGGTGGCCTAGTGGGTAGGAAACTGCCAGTCCAAAGCAGGGAGTTCAAACCCACCAGCTGCTCTGAGGGAGAGAGAGGAGCAATCTCCTCCCATGCAATTTATAGCCTCTGAAAACCCGCTAGAGGGTCAGCTATGAGTTGGTTCTGACTTGATAACAATGAGTTATTTGTTATGTGGCTATTAATTTTATCCATTCATCAGCTGATGGCCAACTGGGTTACTTTTTGGCTATTATTAATAATCCTGCTATGAATATTCGTGTACAAGTTTCTGTGTTTTCACTTCTCTAGGGTATACACTTCAGAGCAGAAATGGTGAGTCATGTGGAACCTGCAATTTGACTAAGAAACAGTCTTTCAAACAGAACAGAGGATTCTACACAGTCAGAAATGGTATATGTTAGGACTGTATTCTTTCTTCATGTTTATTCCAGCTATACACTGAACAAGTAATCCAAGAGGCTAGATTATAAGAAGCACAACATCAGGATTGGAGGAAGACTACTTAACAACTTTTGATAAGTAGATGGCACAATTTTGAAGATCTGAGACACTTAATGATGAAATTTAAAGACCAAAAGCCTTCAGGATGAATCATGATAAGAAGAAGAAAATCATTAGAAATGAGCCAATAAACAGTATCATGCTAAATGGACAAAAGATTGACATTGTCAAGGATTTAATTCAGAAACTACGCCATTACTGAACATCACTGTTCAGGTCTTTTGTTCATAGGGTCAGTATGAGTTGTCTACAACTTGACAGCACGTAACAACAATAATAACAACGAGAGAGCTCTATTGGCCTTGTGATACTACCAAGCCAAAGGTAGGTGATTTTAATCTGCGGCCCTCAGGCCTGATTTTAACTGTTTTTGGTCAAACATTCTTCTCAGTGGTATAGCATTGGTCTGTCCATTTGCTGAACAGAGGTTGCTGTGATGGTAAACACTATGACACTGATGTTGATGTGTCAAACATGATAATGGTTACCCATGGTGGACAATGTTTGGTGGAGCTCCCCAATTAAAACAAGCTTGGAAGCAGGAGTGGCATCTACTTCCAAAATAGCTTGCCTCTGGAAACCCTATGAATTTGGAGAAATGAAAGTTATACAAGTGTTCAGGTCTTCTGTTCATAGGGTCACTATGAGTCGTCTACAACTCGATGGTGCTTAACAACACAACATGCCATCACTGTTATCTTTATAGAAACCTTTAAAATTGTTTTATTGTTTTAAGTAACTATTACTAATGGAAATCAGCTTAGAGAAAAACGTCTGGGTTACAAAGTTAGCATGATTAAGTTTTCATAAAGTCTTTCAGAAGTTAACCTCCATAAATAATTTCCTAGAAACAACACATTCTTCTTTTAAAAGAGAGGTGCATGCTACTAGCAAATGAATGCTGATCTCTGCAAAGCGTTAGACACAAGCACAATGTTCACCAGCAAAATCTATTCAAAGCTGTAATGATAATATCAAAACTATGACTGCAAATCACTTGACCTATGTGAATGTCAACTGTGGATAAAGTAACCTCTTATTTTATACAGAAAATACACACACACACACAAACACACGTGCCCCTAAATAAAAATTAAAAAAAATATATCATTTTTGCTCATCATGACAATGAACTGTTTGTAGTTTGTAGTTTTAAAAACTAAGCAAATGTCCTAAAAATCCAGAAGACATGTACTAAGACATTAACAGGGATTTTCTTCAGGTGGTGCAATGACAGATTAGTCCCTCTTTTTTTTATGCATATTTTCAAAAGAGAGATCTAAGTTTCTCACAATATTTTAAACTTACGCTAGAACCATGTTAAAATCTGAGTGGTTGAACATGTATCCTCCAACAATCCACATTATATTTCCATGGACCACAGCTTTGTGAGATGCTCTGGGAAGCTTCAGGTTAGAATATTCCTCTCGAGTCCAAAATGACTGGTTAGCTGGTACAGGAATTGAACATCCAGGACCTAATAACATAAATAGGTTCACAAAAGGCAGCTTTAAAAACATTGCATTTAAAGCTGTAATATTCTAAATGTAACAACATTGGAAGACTACTTAGTCTTTCCCTTACCATGGAAATATCAAACAAATCCTTTTCATTTGTGCTCTCAATTTTGCTAAAGCTGGATGACCAAGGTCAATCCCTAATAAAGTTCAAAATCACATACTTTGCAATGAGGAGGGGGACCCCATTCAATATAATGTTTCTTAGTTGTGAAGCACTTGCTTAAGCAGCTCTCCAGAAAGAGTAAGCAGAAGAATTACTAGTTTTTAGAGATAAAGAGTAAGCACTAACCATGAGAATAATAAAATAAACTCTACATATTCTGGCAAGCAAAAAAAAAACAGATGCAAGCGAGGTAAGTCATTCTTGAGAAGCTTGGCTTCTGCTGTAATGTTTACACAGTAATATGTACTCAAATACTTCAATTATTTAACTCCTCAGCCAACAAACTATTAGGAAGGACAAGCAGAAAACAGCTTAAATTTAAAAGCATGCAAACAACTATGATTTCTTCAAAACAAAAGGGGTAATTGTGCAAAGAAAATCACTAAATCAATATAGCTGTCATCTTTCACTTTAACAAATTCCTCATTTCTGACTTCTACCAATGGGTCTGAGCATATCAAGAGACCACGAGAATGGTGCAAGTTGTTCACAGGGTCAATATGAGTCACAATCATATCTAAGGTACATAACAACAACAGGAACAATTCTAATGTAATTGTCTATGAACTTAGAAAAGTTTTCTGAGGAAACTGTATTGTTAAATCTCCTCCCACCTCTTGGAGTGGTTCTCTGCCAACCCCTCTTATAGCCGACACAGAGTTCTCCAATTTTCATAACTGAGTTGCAAAGACTGTTAAACCCCTCTACAATGCTAAAGAGAACCCAATCCCTTATTTTTGAAATGGAAATATTTACAAAAACCTGAATAAAGATACATGAAAGTTTGAATGCCACCTAGTAGGTGATTACTGAGGAGTAATAATGTCAGAGGACTAAAGTGCATCTGATTCAGGCCATGGTCTTTCTGATTACTTGCTATGCATCTGAGAGCTGGACAATGAATAAGGATGACAGAAAAAGAGTTGACACCTTTGAGCTGTGGTGTTGGAGAAGAGCACTGAACATCCCATGGGCAGCCAAAAGAACAAACAGATATGTCGTGGAGAGGGTGCAGCCAGAGTGCTCTTTGGAGGCAAGAATGATGAGGCTTCACCTCACATACTTTGGGCATGTTGCTAGAAAGGACTATTCCCTGGAGAAGGACAACTTCAACTAGGTGGATTGAGACAGTGACTGCTTGCAGTGGGCTCTTGTGTGTCAGAAAGTGTGAGGATGGCACAGGATAGAACTGAGTTCAGATCTTTTGTTTATAAGTCACTATAAGTCATACTCAACTTGATGGCATCTAACAACAACAACAGTAGGTGATTAATATATATAGCATATATGTGTTAAGAATAAAATCAATCTAGCACTTATTCAACTGGGAGCATTGTATAACGTAAAAGGAAAATCAAATCCACCAGATGCTCTGCTGGAGAAGGAAGGGCAATTTCCTCCTGTGCCAGTCAGATCCGATTTGACGGGACACTACAAGTTAAAAAAAAAAAGGGAAAAGAAAACTGGGAGACTCCTACCTTGCCACTGTGGGAAGCAGGAGCACCCTCTGACGTCACTTGAATTGCAGACGCCACGATGAGGAAACCCACAGTTATGTGCACAGTAAGGAATATCGCACGCTTCGCCTTTCCAGTTTTCAGCACATTCACACTGAACTGTGCTGCTGCTGTTATTAACCTTACATTCTCCTCGGCCTGAGCAATTATTTGGACACATGTCAAAACTATAAAAACAGGGAGAAATTAAGTCAACACAAAGCAATGCTTCCATTAATTGAGCACAAGTGTCACTCACTGTTTCTGCAGTTCATTCATAAGCAGGGCTGCAGCACTTACTGGTGTTGTATTCAGTTCAACAGTATCGACCCATCAGGGGCTGAGGTGCAAGTAAACCAGTCAACCCTGCTGGACTCTTACAGTAAGAGGAATGTCCAAGAAATAACAAGACAAAGAGAAAAGAAGTTTGTACAACACCATCCAAGCCTAGCTTTTTAAGGGTGGGATAATGGCTACCCTAATCTTCGAAGCACACAAATGATGAGCATTACAAAACAGCTCCATGAATGCCTGTTAGTGTGGGCAGAAGAGATTAGAACAAGCCACCAACATGATACTACCACCTTCATGTCACACATTCCTCTCAATAGCCTCTAAAATTGTGTAGAATTTGTTTAAGATTATTGCCCACACTGGTATATTCTAATTTCCTTATTAAGTTCACCTATTAATTTTAGGTGAAAGGCATGGGAGGGCTAGACCCAGTGACTACATCAACGGGCTCGAGTATATTAGGGATGATGAGGATGGTGCAGGACAAGGTATGGTTCAGCTCCATTGTCCATAAGGGCACTTTGATTGCAGTTGATTCAATGGCACTTAACAGCAGTTTAACTAAACGTGAAGCATGTCCACTCTACTGCGTCTCATAGTAATTTATTGATACCATACTTAAATAACATAATTAGTATTTTTTTTAAAAGGGTGGATAACTGGACGGTCAAGATATTTTACAAGAGGGACATAATGCTTGCAAGGGTTGATGGACAGTGCAAAAGCGGAAGACCCTGGATGAGATGGACTGACTCGGTGACTGGAGTCATGGGGCTAGGTGTGTCAGAGGCAGGTTGGCTCAAGATAGAGCAGGGTTCAGAGCTATTGTACTTAGGGTCGCTATGAGTTCAAGTGACTCAAAAGGAACTAACAAGGTTAAAAGAAAATTTTTTTATCCAAGTCTGTTAGGAAATCAATTTTTAAAAACAAGCTAATTTATGATACTGCATACAATCAAATATTAGTTATTATATCATTATAATAATCAATTATATTAATTTGTATACAGTATTTTTATAATCTATATTCTAGTTATAGTAAACACACTTTTCAAGCTTCAGTAAGCAGATTTACATTAAATTATTCATAAAATAATATTTTCTAAATCTTATAAATATGACTAAATTATTAGGTAGAAAAACTGAATTGCACATCTGCAGGCATCTAGAAAGCGCTATCTATAGCCTCTGTGTAATAACACATGCATATTAGTGAAACTTTAGTAAAGGACAATTTCCCTTTGAGAAAACTCTCTGAAAGGCAACAGTTTACAAAACAAAGACTAAATTATTTCACATTTGACTTGTTTTTCTGTAATACTGACAAAAATCATTTTTTAATTCTTCAATGGCCTAAGAGAAAACTACGGTACAGTATTTTTTTTCTACATACTTAAAACCTATGCCTTGTACCTGTAATAGCAGACGATCATTTCCTACAGACACACTTAATAATCACATATGAGGAATAGACATATAGCCAATACTTCATGTTACTAGCTTTGGGCAGTGGCAATCGTGTAGCCAGTGAGGTCTATTTGCAATGTAATTATTGCCAGTAGTTAATGGTACTAAAAAAGGAGAAGGGACTCCAACTTGTTCTTAGACATCAAATTATTAAAGTGCCATTAAATATAATTTTTAGCATTTTCTGGAGCAATGAGTCACATAAAGACTTCAAAATATGAAACTATTTTCATTTCTTTATAAAAGATATTTTACAATTTATAAAAAAATTAAAAGGAAAAAATGAATGAAAGACTATCTGCTTGTATGTAAACTGAGTAATGAGAAAATTATTCTAATTTGGTGAAATGAGGTAATGAGAAAATTACTCTAATTTTGTACAGGTAAAAACACAAATTAGAATGAAAAATAAGATGATGTGTCAACTTGTGTGAAAATAAAACCTATTTGTTCTTCCTTCCTTTAAAAGAAGACCAGAGCCCACTTGAGTGGCTGGGGCTTAGCTGAGGTAAAAGTCTTAAGACTCCTCCAGCTGAGGTCAGTCCAGAGACAGGCTTTATATAAGTTCAACCTGAGGCTATCTGAAAAATGAATGATAATTTTAATGTACATTCCTTTGAGTATCTTTCTGAGAATAAGTAACATTATTTTATGTGACATTTAATAAGGTCACACACAGAGATATCTAAGGACTCCCAGTAGGAAACAGTTCTTTTGGCATCCAGGAGTTAATATAACTGAATTGTATCATTCCTTCATTTAACAATTACTAATTTTGATCTCCTCTTCCTTGGCTCTGGTTGTTGGTGCATATATTTGAATGATAGTGGTATTCACTGGACTTCCTTGTATGCGTATAGATATTATCCTGTCACTGACAATATTGTACTTCAAGATGGATCTAGCAATGACTTTTTTAACTATGAAAGCAACTCCATTTTTCCTCACCTTTTCATCTCCAGAGTAATATATCATATGGTCATCCGACTCAAAATGCCCCATGCCAGTCCATCTCATCTCACCAATGCCTAGTATGTCGATATTTAGGCGTTCCATTTCTTCCTTAACAATATCTAATTTTCCTACATTCATGGTTCTCACATTCCATGTCCCAATCACCAGTGTCTGCTTACAACCGTTCCTCTTCCTTTGTATTTCCATACTTGAAAACTCAACCTCCTTTGCCTTTTCTGTTATCTACATGTGTTCTGTTGTACATAGGGTTTTCAGAGGCCTGCTATTTCAGAAGTGGATGGCCAATCCTTCTTCCTAGTCTGTCTAAATGTGAATGTTCAGATTTAGAGAAGTATCAGACAGACCAGCAAGTTAAAGGTATATCCCTTATTGCGGAGGTAACTTTAGTGTCAGTGTTGTCCCTGCCTTTCTCACATGCGTCTTTACCCACTTATTTCCCTGCTCCACCATCTACCAGGATACCCATCCACTTCTACCCCCCTCCCTTCACATCTATCTCCCTTTGACCAGCTCTCCATCTAATAACTTATATATGAAGGACATCATGCTTGGGAGGGTGGAGGGACAGCGCAGGAGAGGAAGGCCCTCTATGAGGTGGATTGGTTCAGTGACTGGGATAATTGGGATGGGAGTGTCAGAGACAGTGCGACTGGCACAGGACAGAGCGGAGTTTAGGGCTGTTGTACATAGGGTCGCTATGAGTCGCAAGCGACTCAACGGCACATAACAACAACAACAATTTTGATCTCCAGGGGAACACAAGGAGGCCTGGTGGCACTGTGGTTACATTCTGAGTTGCTAAAGGAAAAGGTAGAAGCTGGAACCCACCAGTTGCCCTTTAAGAGAAAGATGACACAATCTGTTCTCAGTAAGATTTCGTCTCGGAAATGTGGCACAGGACCGCCGTGAGTTGGAAATTACTCGAGAGCAATGAGTTTTGGGTTATGGGAGCTCAAAGCCCATCCTCTCCAGGGTAGAAAGGACCAGTCAAGTTAAGAAGAATATGTACTCCTGGGAAGAAATTCCAGGAATTTCCATTTATTCCATTACAGTTCACAGAGCTCAAAGAAGGGCTTTTCTATCGATGGAGTTAAAAAGGCATGATGACAGTGTCTGGACAGTCTTCTGCTGGGGACTCTGTCTGTGGGGTTTACCTTCTCCCACATAGCTGTGGCCCTGTGAAGGAAGCCTCCTGCTACACCATCCCTCCAACCCCAGCCCAGGGAACTCACAATGGGGTCTACGGGAATGATTCATCAATGCTACATAGAATGTGGATTGCAGGCAGGAGCAGATCAGTCTAGAGCTGATTAAAAATGTATATTTTAAGGCCCCATTCCTGTTAAGCTGGGTTTACGGGGCTAAAGACCCCAAATCTCTGTCTTGACGTGTCTTCAAAAGATTCCAATGCATTTTGAAGTTTGAGACGTTAGCTTAGGCCCATATCTCCCATTCAGCCTTCCATGACACAAGGATGGCCCACTCTGATAGCCATGACTTCCTGAGCTTCAATCCTGAACTGTGTCCCCACTGAAAGAAAGACCTCCCAGGACCACCTCTGTATGCTCAACCACAGAGATGTCCGCTTCCTCTCTCCTGGGACTTTCTTTTCTAGGCTGCTGTGACAAACCATCCACTGGTATTCCCTGCTCAGTGTAACATCTGGCACAGATTAAACTGTCAATATATATCATTATTATTGTTAAACAAAGTATAATATTTTAAATTAAATCACAAATAATAGACTTAAAATAGCTTACCTGTAAGTGATATTAAATCCAGTCAGATTATAAGCAGCATCACTAAAAAAATGCAGCAAGGCATAACCTGAGGTGACAACGACCTCGGGGACAGTCTCGTTACCGTCTCTCTCAGGAACAATGAGGCCGCTGAAATAAAAAGCACATCTCTCAGAAAGGGGATAAGCACAATCACAGACACATCACACTGTGGCAGCCACTAATTCAGAAGCTGGACTTCTCCCCTTTAATTTAAAAAAAACCATGATCTGGAAGGCAGGCAAACTCCTGTGACAATACAGTACTACCCTAACTCTCTAGAGTCCTTGGTGGCCCAAAATTGTGATCGTGCGTGGCTGCTAACTGAAAGACTGAGAGGTTCAAGTTTACCCACATGTACCGCAGGGGAAAGCCCTAGGGATCCACCTCCAAACATCAGCTACTAAAACACAGTTCTACTTTGACACACATGGGTCACCATTAGTTGGACTCAACTCAATGACAACTGGGAACTAGTTCCCTCCACTTGAGCTCTGGAGCCTCTAAGGAGCAGATCTGAATCTTCTGTCAGGCTATTCATACAAGGTTGTGTTTTTAAAGGTATCTGAGATCAATGGCTTTAATTATTTTTTTAAAGATAGACTTTTAAATATCTAAAAATTAAGAAGCTAGTAAGTAGAAGAACTCCAACCTTAGTATTCTGACAGATTTCCTTTAGCTAACTGCTCTCATATATAAATTCTCTATTCTGCTTATTAATATACCTTAAGCATTTCCCGTCTTATTAAAATTTTGTTAGGTTACTCGTAAATAAAAGAATTACTGAATCTACAAGTCTAAACAGTGGCTTTGAAGCAAATACTACCATGTTTTTCAAAAGCAATATGCCTATCAACAAAGAAAGAATCCATCCTACTTCACCCTGCCAATAATGCAGATAAATAAAAATGTGTGGTTTTTTAAAAAGTGTGTTTTATAGTTAAGTGCTTGGTTACTAAATGAAATGTGAAAATCCCATAGAAGAAAAGACCGGGCAATCTGCTTCCAGAAAGATTGCTATAGTTGTTGTTAGGTGCCGTCTAGTCAAGTACAACCCACAGTGGCCCTAGATCTGAATCCGGTCCTATTCTGCACCATCCTCACATTTCCTGACACATCAGGGCCCTCCGTGGCAGTCACTGTGTCAATTCACCTAGCTAAAGGTTTTCCTCTCCTTCACCCACCCTCACCCTTCTAAGACAGATTTGTTTGTTCTTTTGGCGTCCATGTTCAGTACTTGTCTCCAACACCACAGCTCAAAGGTATCAATTTTGTTTCTGTAATCTTTATTCACTGTCCACCTCTCAGGTGCATAGCAAGTGATCTGAAAGATTAAGGCCTGAATCAGATGCACCTTGGTCCTCAAAATGACATTATTACTGCTCAATAATTTGGAGAGGTCCCTAATTGCAGACTTTCTCACTGCAGTATGTCTCCTGATTTCCTGACTGTTGGTATCAAAGATAGTGATTGTGCATCCAAGAAAGAGGAAGTGGTTTTTTCCATCTATATGGTACAATTCTACTCTGTTATATAAGATTGTTATCAGTCAGAAAGCAATTCAATAACATGTTGATTTGAGTAAAATAACACTATAATCCCAAGGTTATAACATTATGATCCTTCTGGTCTACTTGTTTCCCTGGAATATGTATCACAACTACACCCACTTCAAGGTCTATGATAATCTTGGATGTTCAATTTGCTTTGAATTAGCGGGGGTGTTTTGGTTGGTTGGGGTTTTTTAAAAGAAGACACACTTGCAAGTATTCTACAAGAGTATTCACTGTGACATTATTCGTAATAGCTGAAAGCTATTTGTATGCTCACCTATAAGGAGCTGGCTAAATGGGTTTATTGTACTTCTGTCGGCCCACCGGTCTAACACAGGGAGTTCATCAAGGGGAATGAAGAGCAAGCTGCAAAACAATGGCCCAGTGTATGTGTATATCTACGTGTATTTCCTAAGTTCATATAAAAACAATGACACATACATACAACCCAGAAGTAAAGAACAAGAAAGAAAGGGAAGGGAACTTTCAGTCAATGAAAGTGTTAATACAGAACAGAGTTCTAGGAGCATCAGAATGCTCAGGGTGCTCCAGTGATTACTAACTAGTGACGTGTTTGCTCTCATTTAGTCATCTAACAAACACTTGTCAAGCACCTACCTTGCATAAAGCATTATTCTAGGTACCAGGAGTATAACAGCACAGACGGCAAAGGCACTGCCTTGATCAAGTTCACATTAAAGAAACAACAGCTGGATCTACATACATGTCCCTCTGCCTGGCAGAGACAAAGGCTATGAAGGGCAACAGAGTAAAAGAACAAAAGAAGGTGCTGCTGTAGAAACGGCAGTTGTAGAAGGTCTTTGAAGAGGTGAGGGCTGATCAGAAACCTAAATAAGGGGCTGAGCTTATGCTTCCATCAGTTTTCTATACCAACAGTCTTTAAAATAGTGAAGAAGTCTCTAGATAGAGCAAGGTTAATGTGCTCAACTACTCGTTGAAAATTTGAGTCTACCTAGAGATATTTTAGTAGACATGGTGATTTACTTAAAAAAAAAATAAATCAGTCACTGAAAACAAATGGAGGACAGTTCTCCTCTTACACTTACAGGAATGTCATGGATTGGCACTTACTGAACAAGTTGGCTTTTTAAATACTGAAGGGGTACTTGGAAAAGCAAGGCCACCTAGAAAAGTATTTTGAAAGCAATCTTGCCACAGGAATCGTTTGGGGGCTTTGGTCACATTGAAAAACCCTGCACCCTTCTATGCAAACAATGAACTTCAGGATTAGAGAGACCAGATTCCATACTCCTAGGAATGTCACTGACATCTCTGAGCCTCAAGTTTCTCATCTGTAAGAGAAAAACCCTATCTACCCCACAGTGTTATGCCACAGATCAGACTTGAAAGCCTGTGAAGTGCTGTGCCCAACACTACCAGGTACTCAGTAAGTGACATCGAGCATATTTATATGGTACAGACAATAGAGTGTGTAGGATGGATGGTAGACCAGCACAGGGAGTCAAGGGCCTCTACGTGAGAGGACGAGAAAGTGTGAAAGTAGCTTTCCCATCATCAGAGGAGTCTGTGTCTTCACCTTAAAAACTTGAAAACAAACTATTTATGAGAAAAATGAACTTCTGCAGAATAAATGAACACAAATACTGTTTCAACTCAGCAAGCAAGGCAATGGAAAAGCGTCTAGGTGATGAAGAGATGCTGCCAAAGTGCCATAATCTGTCACTTCAAGTTACAGCCTTGCCCCAACCTCCCTGTCCATGGCCTGTAGGTAGAGAAACAAAGACTGGGGCAGCTGAGAAGACAAGTAGCTGTGCAACTTGAACACAGCAGAACGGCCTGCCCTGGTGTTCTTTACTATTAGTTATTTCAAATGTACACTTAGCACTGTCTGAAACCATTCCTGTCAAGGATATGAAAATAATCTCTTAATGAACCTGAACTTCAGCCAAACCATCCCCAGGTAGACAAATGCGCTCTTAGGACACAACCTGACTTTACCAACAACATAAGCTTACTGATAATCCTCAATTTGACATACTTTTTCCCTGGCACGACCTCTGTAAAGGCACAGATTAAGCCAGAGGTAAGTCAGCTAAGGACCTGCTAACAGAGTCAGGCAGGGTCTACACCTTTACCTGACGAAGGAAGGTCAAAGAACATAGAAGAAGTGCCATCCCTTGACTACCTTCTCCATGTGTATGACGGCCTAACCACCCTGGTTTCTACTGGGTGCCGGGCAGGCTGACTGACCTCTGATTTCCAATGGTTTCCTCTGAAAGTTCTTCATGGCCTCAACAACTGCCTCTTCAACTCTTGACCTTCTTGTTGTTGTTTTTATGTATTCTCGAGTCTGAACTGACTCATAGCTGACCCTCCAGTGGGTTTTCAGAGGAAGTTTTACTGCACAGGAGGAGATACTGTCTATCTTTCTCCCCAGCTGGTGGATTCAAACTATGTGCCTTTGCAGTCAGCAGTACAACTCTCTACAGCCTATGCCACCAGAGCTTCCTCCAGGACTGATGGCCCCACAAACCACAGCCTCCTCTAGCCAACACCAGAAGAACTAGATGGCACTCACTACCATTACCAACCACTCTGGCCAATGACACATAAACAGTCCCAGTCAGAATGGGAGAAAATTATAGAGCAAAGCTCAAGTTCATAGAAGACCAGACTTAATGGACTGATAGAGAATGAAGGCACCCATGACATTGTTGTTGTTGTTGTCATCATTGATTGTCTTCAAGTCAAGCATGACTCATAGTAATCCTATGAACAAAAGGCCTGAAGCCCATGACTATTACCTATTACCCTAAAATGCTCTTTCAACCTGGAACTGATGTCACTCCTAGAGGTCACTTCCCAGCTGAGTAATAGATTGTTCAGTAAAAGTTCTTTATCAAGTTATCAGGAGGAAAAACTGCAACCATTTTTAATTCTCCAACATCAAAAACATATAATACAGCTAGTTCTTCTTAGTGAAAATAAAAATGTCAAAACTAGTTAGAAGATCCCATACAGGCGAGCTCTGGTGGCCTAGTGGCAAGAAGCTGCACTGCAATCCCAGAGGTGAGCAGTTCAAATCCACCAGATTCTCTGCTGGAGCAGGAGGGACAATCTCCTCCTGTACCAGTCAGATCTGATTTGATGGTACACACACATGCAAAAAGAATAAAAATAAAAAAAAAATTTTAAAAAAAGAAGATCCCATACAGTTGATGCTTTAAACACCTGAAGGTCAATGAAGGAAAGGACCCTCAGTGAAGTGGACAGACCCAGTACCCAGTAACTGCAGTGGCAGAGGTTACGAGGACAGCACAGGACAGGGCAAGGTTTCAACCAGTGGTCACAGCATTGTTATGAGTCAGAGTGGATTCCATAGCACCTAACAACAACATGCACCTGATGTAAAACCACTTTAACTGTTAATACAGAATGGTTATTGTTGTTGTTGATGTTGTTATGTGGCATCAAGTTGCATGAGACTCATAGCAACCCTGTGTACAACAGCCCTAAACCCTGCTCTATCCTATGCCAATCTCACTGTCTCCAACACACCTACTCCCATTACCCCAGTCACTGAATCAATCCACCTCAATCAGGGTCTTCCTCTCTTGCGCTGTCCCTCCCTCCCAAGCATGATGTCCCTCTCCAAGGACTGGTCCCTCCTTGAAAAATGTCCAAACTATGTCAGAGGAAGCTTCAGAATCCTTGCCTCCAAGGAGCACCTAACTATTAATATAGAATATACCTGTTCCAGGGAAAAAAATTACAATGATATATAAGTATTTCTATTCTTAGCAAGAAACCGCTTTCCATTTATGTGCCTTGTTCCCAAAAGTTTCCCTCAATACTTATACAATAGGATACAAACATACACTATGGCTACACTATGATACAAATGTACACTTGATACTATTTACAAGTCAGGACACTGAAAAGAGGTCACCTACTGTATCTTGAAACTCACCTAATAGCTACAGGAAACCAAGAAGCACACAGTGATCACAGTCCAGGCCTATCACTCTTTCCACAAAATTAAGTATGTTATGTGAGAATAAAGCTAAATCTACTAAAAATGCAACTGACAAGCTTACACCCAGAAATCAAATAATGATTAACGAGGATTTTTATGCCTGAGCTTACCTAAAGGCAGCAACTAGTGGTGCATAAATTGAGTCGCCATCATAAACATATAAATGGTCCCAACTACATTCTGTAGCAAAATGGTTGAAACGAAGTCTCATTATTCTGTTTGGCCTGAAAATAATAAGAAAGTTAATTTATAACAAAGCAAGCTTCATACCCAACAAATACTTGAGGAAAATATCTATATTTCAGGAATTTACAGGGGAACAAACAGTTCTTCTGGTAGTAAAAGCCATTTTCTTTTATTTACATAGCACTTAACATGGACAAGAGATCATTAAACATGTATGCAAATGGTAAACAAAACAGAAGTGGTCTGTATGGAAAGAGTTCATTCAGTGTTTCCCGTAAGTCATAATTTCACAAACTGTCAATTCTCTGAACTCTCCCACTTGTCTCTCTTTCTACAGTAAAAGCCCTGGTCTAAAGGAAACCAAGATTCTGCTCTGACTTAAAATGTGTCCAAAGACAAGTAAGTATTGCTAGACAAAAAGCATCGTCGGGCGGACTGGGTCTGGTCCTAATCACTGCTCACCAGCTTTAAATGGTACTTTAACTCTTTTCATCTATCACACTGCTTCCTCCATCGCTTTTCTCCACTTTTGACATTCCTTTTTTAAAAATAAACCAGATTCTTTCTTCTGTACATCTCCACACCTTCTGGACTTGCCTGATCTCTGTGCATTCCAAAAAATTTTAAGTAGCAACTACTTACTCCAGGATTTAAATATCCATCCTTGGGTTTAGTGCTAAACTCCACTGTCAGTTACATAACTGACTTCCGGGTATATCCCTCTCCAGCACCACCCGGGAAACATTTCCAAAATTAAACCTTCCATTCTCCCTCCCTATTTAGTTTCTCCTGAATGTGGCACTGCACATCTGTCCATGCCAGAAACCTGGAAGTCATCATTGATTTAATTTCTTTCTCCAATATTGTACTCTACTGCTAAATTCTGATTATTCCAGCTTCAAGGTATATTTCAGGTCTGTCCTCTTTTTTATGCCTTCACCACTACCATGCTAGTCTAAATTAACATAATTTTTAGTCTTGCTTACAAAAACAATCCATCATTGTTGTTGTTGTTACATACTGTCAAGTCAACCCACAGTGACTCTATGTACAGGAGCTCTGAACCCTGCCCTGTCCTGAGCCAGTCTCACTGTCTCCAACACACCTACCCGCATTGCCCCAGTTACTGAATCAGTCCATCTCATCAAGGGTCTTCCTCTCCTGCAGTGTCCCTCCTACTTTTTTAGCATGATGTCCTTCTCCAAGGACTGGTCCTTTCTGGCCATGTGCTACGATTACCCACATCTAATTCAGTCTCTGTATTAAACAACATAGGCCAAATGAAAATTTGTGATTCTTTATTTAAAACAATTGGTGGCTTCCTACTGCACTTAGGAAAAAAGGCCAAATTTTTAACAAATGATGACCTTCTGTGCATCGCTCTCCCACACTCAACTGTTTTAACCTCCCTCAGTTGCTTCAGTTTTAAGATTCTTACAGAATACTCTTCTAATTACTCTTTCCCTACCTAATTCCTTGTCTTCCTTCAGACTTCAGCTCACTATCACTTCCTCAAAAAGATATGAGACTCTCAAGCCAGGCCATATGGCACATAACTAACATCTGTCCTCCCTACTGGATAGTAAGTTCTCTGGTGAGAAGGACCAGGTCTGTTTTCAATCACGGGTTTATCCAGCACACAACATAGTTAATGTTTGACACAAGATGGCACACACACAAAAGATCTGTTTCACATGATTTTACTTGACAGCTCTTAAAAAGTCCTGCCAATTCTGAGATGGTTCTTTTACACTTCTGTCTAGTGCACAGGCCTTTTCACTTCAAATAAGCATACGAGATATACTCCAACCATACCCATCAATGTATTCAGTCAAACAGCTTCTAGTCAAAGAGGAGTTTATAGAACACATGTGATTCCCACAAAGCATGTAGATTATCCCAAACATTTTGCTTCAGGATGAGTAAGTAGCATTCTCAAACTTTTCAGTCTGTTTTACATGTGCAGATGCATTTGAACACCCACACATTTAGCCTCTGTTTTCCTCCTTTAGGGAGTTTCCTATCCTACAACTTCAGCTTGAGTATAAGATAGCTACTACAGCTTGAGCTACAAACTGAACTAATCACTTTTTTTCTTAGAATACCACTTTCATGTGGAAGAATAACTAGTTGTCCACATGTAGATAGTTAGCAGACATTTTCTAGAAAATGGACAAAGACAGACTGTAATTTCAAAGAAAGCAGCCACTTACAGTATTTTATGTCAGTGATAAAGCCTGAAATTTCAAAAGGTAAGTAACACTTTGGGAAATGTGTATTTGCTACCTAGATGTAACTTCCCAAGAGGTACCTTACAAATTTCTGATGAGATTATGTAATATAAATAATCAATATAACTTTAATATATCAATATTTGGAAGATCTGCATTAAATCCGTCAATCTGTATATTCCAAATGATCCAAGTAACATGTTACAAAATCCTGCATATGTAAGAAATCCAGCAACTTTTAATAGAGCAATAAAGTTGAAAAAGTTGACTAATATTACCTGAGTCTACACTATAATTTACTTTAAAGAAATTATTACCTGTCAAGTTTTGATATAGTACCAAAGAAGATTAACTATAATTATTTAAATAGACAATTAAAATCTCCTCCCTTTTCCTACTACATATTTAAGTGAGGCCTGCTTTTTTTCTTTTCTTTTCACATTCTTCAGCCATAATAATATAACAAAGTGAATGCAAAAAAATAGGACATCTAGCTATCCTGAAGAGTTCTGCAAAAAAGTACAAAAATTATTTTCTTCTGTTCTTTAAAAATATTGGTTTGCTTGTTCTCATAAAAGTGTCACTTGTACTAATATGTAGTAGGTTTATTACTGTTGCTTTTGAAAGAACTAACAATATTTCTTGGTCTTTTTTCTAGCAGGGTAAATACTGAGAGATACAACCCACAAACCAAAAATTATTTTGGTTCCTTGACCTCAAAGGTTAAGGGCAGAAAAAGGTCCCTTTCTAAGAGACCAGAAACTACTTGAAGTTTTTGGTAAAGAGAAGGAGAAAAGACAACAACAGGTAGAGGACAAAAGGGGGTCAAGAGATTATGCTGCTTGGGTTAAAGAAATTATTTTTATTTTCTTGCCCACAATAAAAATACTTAGAAAAATGACGCATTAGCATTTGCTAATGCTTTAAGTAAACTATTAAATTACTTAATAGTTTCTGTACAAACCATGGCCTCATCTACTCTTAGACCAGAAGGACTACATTACTGCCTGTTCTGAGTGGCACAAGCAACAACAGATGGACCCTGACAGAACAGGGGAAAAATGTGGACAGGAACCTGTAATGCTTTAAAAGATGAACAACATAAACACTCTCACTGGACTGGTTGAGACTGGAAGACTCCCTACAGCTATTTTCCCAGATAAGCATTTCAACTCTTGAACTAAAACTAACCCCGGAAATCACCTCATAGCTAAGCAGCAAACTGGTTAAAAAGAGGAATATCACTGTGCTCTTCTGAAAAATCTCCAATATGGGACTAAGATGATCAACACTCACTTTAAAAACAAAAATGATTTGCATCTCTCTCAGGGCTAGGGATTTTGAACATTTCTTCATGTGCTTGTTGGCCATCTGAATGTCTTCCTTGGTGAAGTGTCTGTTCATATCCTGTGCCCATTTTTCAATTGGATTGTTCTCTTTTATTTTGTTGTGGTGCTCGAGTATTCTATAAATTCTAGATATAAGTCCCTTGTCTGACATGTCATTACCAAAAACTTTTTCCCAGTCTGTGACTTCCCTTTTTACCCTGTTAGAGAAGTTTCTGGATGCGCATAGGGATTTGATTCTTAGAAGGTCCCATTCACCTATTTTATCTTCTCCTGGTTGTAAATTTTTCAGAATACTGGGAAGACTCTTTATGTTGTGGATTAGGACTACTAAAGTTTTTCCAAGCTTTTCTTGAATGAAGTTTACCGTCCTTGGTTTTAGTCCTAGGTCCATGATCCACCTTGAGTTGGTTTTTGTATATGGAGTGAGGTGGGGATCTTGTTTAATTCTTCTGCAGATAGTTTTCCAATTTTGCCAACACCATTTGTTAAAAAGGCTGTCATTTCCCCACCTAACTGATTTCATCTCTTTGTCAAAAATCAGGGTAGAGAAGCTGCGGTATATTCACACAATGGAATACTATGCTGCATTGAAAAACAAGGAACTCATGCAATATTATTCAAAATGGGTGAACCTGGAGGACATTATGCTGAGTGAGGTATCTCAGTCACAAAGGGACAAATACTAGATGGTGCCACTGTTGTAGAATGAGGCTGGCATTGGGGTGGGGGTAAGACTGAGAAAAACTGGATGAAATATGTTTATGGCATTGAAGTCTATGGGGGAGAGAATAGTCTAAAAGTATTATATTTTAGGGCATTATTTTTATCGTAGGAGTATGCAATGAGGGTTGCAGAGTGGATTATATTTGGGGGTAGGGGGTGGGGTTTGGGGAGGTGCGGGGGGGTTGTGTACCAATGAGGGAGTTTTTCTTTTGCTTTTCAAGGAGAGGAGCAAAAGGGAGGGGGGAGGGGTTTGTGCGGGGAGAAGGGTGCAACAATGAATGAATGGAATCCCAAAATCTCTGTAGATGCTCACTGAAATGAAAAATAAACAACCTAAATTAAAAAAAAAAAAACAACAAAGATGAGAATGTACATGAGAAGGAAAATGAGATTAATGGAAATAAGCAACAGAAATCATGAGAATGTTCATGCCTCAGAAATAATGTGACCAATGTAACCAACTTGAAAGACCTTTGTGAAAATTGCTCAATGGGACCCTAACCTACTCTACAAACCTTCACTGCAAACACACTATTATTTTTTTAAAAAAAACAACAACAACAAAACAATAAATTTCTATTATAGTTGAAAACATACAAATACTATATGTAGACAAGTCATTTGTAATGATACTAAATCAACAACGAAATTTCTTTTTTGGAAGGGAGGGTTTGAACATCTGTTAATGTTCTTTTTTTAAAAAATTTGCACAAAACTTTACAAGTTATGTTGCATTTTCATTCAATCTCTCCTAGATATTTTGTTTTATAATAGTAGTTAAAATTTACCTATGTACTTAATTACAATGTCTATTCAAACTTATTTTAAATTGCCTTTCCCTTTACCTATAATGAAGATCAAAGAAATAAGAAAACAAATCTACTTGTCAAATGAAAAATTCTAAATTTTTTTAAAAAACATGTTAAATTCTTTATGATATATATAATTTCGCGTCTAGTAAAAGTAAATCTAAAGAAAGATGAAGCCATTACTACTTACTGTCCTTCAATGAGCCATGTGCACTTCGTTTTATATTTATAATTTCCAGGTCCATCTGTTACAAACCCTGAAGATCCAGTTAGTCTGTAAATGAAATAAAAACTTAAATTCATTAGAATTTACTACATTGGTAACAGCTTTCTAAATTCTTCTATAAAATCCCAAATGAAACATAGTGGGTACATGAATGGTACAACCAGAAAATGACTAGTTATATCTAAATTGCACAAATCAAAATTAAACAAGTCCAAGTCAGACACTTAAAATAAGACACAAAAATATTTTAAAAGTCATATTTTGCACCATGAAAATGGCCACAAGAACATATTTATAAATATGAACTGGTTTTTAAAATTAAGATCATTAATATTAAGGTCAGTTAACAAGTAAATGTACTGCATCAAGTCAATCTTGACTCAAAACAACAAAGCAGGAGAACTGCTTCACAAGATTTCCAAAACTGTAATCTTTACGGAACAGACTGTCACATTTTTTTGCATCAGTTACAAGCGGTTGTTGTTGTTATTAGGTGCTGTTGAGGCACATAGGAAGAGTCTGCGCATCTTTCTCCCATGGTTTCGAACCACCAGAGACGTAGTCTTTGGATTAGCAGCACAACTCCCTACAGATTAAGCCACAAGAGCTCCCATATTGTTAAAAAATTTTTAAAGAAAGATCTATTTCTTTTTTCATTACGGTTTCCAGACCGTATTTCCTTGTTTGCATTAACAGTATCAGTCTCCCTGAAGCAGAGCTTCTTTTTGGCTCTGTCTTACTTTCTGAGTCATCTATTCACATACCAGTTACTCCTCTTCACACACTGAAGCTATCAGCACCCTGTTCATTATATTCCATTCATCTGCATCAACACCCAAGGCACTGCATCCAACACTCAGCCTCTCAGCCTTTCCCACCTACTACTGTCCAGTCAGTTCTGTCTTACAAACACCCTCCATCAACTTTCTAAGGCTGAAAATCTTAATGAGGAGCTTACACATCTTTCTTTAGTGGAACAGCTGGTATACTCCAACCACCAATCTTTTGGTTAGCAGCCTAACCACATACTACACCACCAGGGCTCTTTCTTACCTTACCATTAACAATCAGTTCTTCCACTCCACTTTTTTAAAATTTTTTTTTATTTTATTATTTTTTTGTGTGTACGGTCAAATTGGATCTGACTGGTACAGGAGGAGAGTGTCCCTCCTTCTCCAGCAGAGCATCCGGTGGAATTGAACCTCGCACCTCTAGGACTGCAGTGCAGCTTCTTGCCACTAGGCCGCCAGAGCTCGCCTCTTCTACTCCACTTTTGCCACTCATTCCTTACCCTTTAACAATACTATCACCAAGATCTCCATTTTAAGCATCCTACTACATAAAAGAATGTGAATTCCAGAATATTTAATTGTGCTCATGAGAAACCTACACTTAGCTCAAGAGGCTGCTGTCCAAATCGGGCAAGGGAATACTGCATGATTTAAAGTCAAGAAAGGTGTGAGTCAGGGTTGTATTCTTTCTCCATAATTATTCAATCTGTTTTGTATCCTTTCTCCATATTTATTCAATCTGTATGCTCAACAAATCATTTGAGAAGCAGGACTCTCTGAAGAAGAATGTGGCACAGGATTGGAGAAGACTCAACAACAACCTATGTTATGTAGATGACACAACATTGCTCACTGAAAATGAGGACTTGATGCACTTGCTGCAGATGATCAAAGGCCTTCAATATGGATTACATTTCAACAAGAAGAAAACAAAAATCTTCACCACTGGACCAATAGGCAACATCACAATAGAAGGAGAAAAGATTGTAGTTGTCAACAATTTTATCTTACTTGGATTTATAATTAATATCCTTGGTATCAGCAGTCAAGAAATTATAAAAACAAGTTGCAATGGGAAAATGTGCTGTCAGGAAACTCCTGAGTACTTCAGAGCAATGATGCCAGCTTAAAGATTAAGGTGCGCCTGATGCAGGCCATAGTCTTTTCAATCACTTGCCATACAGCTGAGAGGCAGATGATGAATAAGGATGACAGAAAAAGAATCAGTGCCTTTGAGTTGTGGTGCTGGAGATGAGTACTGAGTAGTCCACGGATTGTCAAAAGAACAAATATCTGTCTTAGATAAAGTGAAGCTGCTCCTTGAAGGCAAGAGTGGTGAAATTCCATGTCTTATGCACTGAACATTTTGTTGGGAATTGAGGAGGGACAAATCCTTGGGAAAGGTGGAGGGTCAGCATAAGAGAGGAAGACACTCAATAAGATGGATTGACACAGTGACTTGAACAATGGGTTCAAGTGTATCGGAGATGGCAAGGATAGCACAGGACAGGGCAGGGTTCATGTTCATTGTTCATGGGGTCCCTGTGAGTCACAGTCAACTCTGCCACATAACAACAACAATGATCTTCTTTAGGGAGCTCTGGTAGTTCAGAGTGAGATGGGCTAGTAACCCAAAACTGATCTGCCTCCAGAGGGAGCATGGAGATGTGCTACAGACTGCCCTTTGAGGAAGATCTTGCTCTACCATCCAGTGTTTGGTGGTCAGTCCTTCAGGAGCTACCTCGTTCCTTCCCAGGATAGCTGTACTCTGGTACTACAGAGGACAGGGCATTTCAATTCAACATGGGACAACCCCGACATGCAATACTCACTATTAAAACTCTACTCTGTCAAGTCTACCTCCAAATTTAACTACTTTACCCTAACTGGGCTTCCTGTTTCTTCCTGTTATTGGTGCTACAGTAAAATTTTACCCCAAACTCTCTTAGTATCTGCTTCCAAAAAAATGCAACCTGTAACACACACTCAAGAAGAGATCATCCATTTTCTTCCTTTGGACTTTGGCTACAGCCATCATGCTACCAAGCTGAACATAAAGCTAAAATCAAGGAAGGACAATCAAAGGTTCTAAAGACTGGTGTCACACAACCACAAAAACTTCTAGCTTCAGGAGGGAATATATTTTCCTCTGCTTACTGTTTTATTGTTTACATGTGTGTGTCTGTCTGTCTGTCTCTCTCTCTCTCTCACACACACACACATACAATCTTATTTATTTTGCTTTAAGCTTTTCTAGCTCAAGTTTTATAGCTCCCTACTATTCTTAGTTAACTATGAAGAACTGCTAAGGCATGAGAAGGGTCAGTATTTACATGTCAGAGTCATTTTACTAAAGAAATATACCTCAGGTTGTTTTTATTTTAAATGGTTCATCTCTTTAAACAATCACATCTACTTATTTTATTCTGACAAAATGAGCTAAACTCACCAAGACAGCAAACAAACACTGTCAAAGGGTGTAGAGAGATCAGAACTCTCATTCACTGAAAGTAAAATGGTGCAATTATGATGAAAAACAGTTTGATACATTCTTAGAAGGTCATTCTAGTCTTAGAACGATAGAAATACCATTTGATGAATCAATCCCACTACTTAGTTGTTGCTGGTGTTGTGTGTGCCATCAAGTCAGAAACAACTCATAGCTGACCCTCCAGTGGGTTTTCAGAAGCAGTAAATCACACGGGACTAGACAGCCCACCTTTCTCCCTCAAAGGAGCTGGTGGAATCAAACTGGATGCCTTTGGGATGGTAGAGCAGCCCCTTACTACTAGGCTATGAGGCTATCTTTATGAGTTATGCTAATCAATAGCAATTGATGTTACTAAAGAAAATGTCAATGCATGACTATATGAAAACCCAATATGATTTGCAAGTCATCGGCCCACAAAAAATCATTATATAGTAAAACCTGAAAACCAAAAGGAAAAACCCAGTCACAGCTACGTAACTTTAAAAAAAATGCACAGATATGATCACAGGCAGGCTTTCATCATTAACTAAAGAATAATTTCTTTTTTTAGTCTACATCTTCAGTTTCCCTCTACTCCCATTTCGCTCACAAGATAAACACTGAACTACCTAGCAAGCATTTTTAACTTTTTTCTTTATATTCACGAGACAATCATATCCATGTATGATCCTCTGAAACTCTTTCTGGTTACTCAAATTGGTTTATTAAATTTCTCTGCATTTTCGTCACTCAGCAAGACCTTGTGGGGACCTCTTCAACTAACCACATCTTAGTCTAATTCACACATGCTATTCCAGTGGACTTTTGCTGCCTTTTCTCTACTGGCATTTATTTAATTTTTAGTTGGCTGGCATCATGCACACTGTTGCAACAAATATCCTTATACATATGGCCTTACTTAGGCATTTTTTTTCTTCCTCCTTAGAATGCAGGGAGAGGATTACTGGACCAAAAGGAATATGAATTTTAATTACTAACTTAGCTGCCAAATTATTTTCCAAAAGGCTATAACAACTCACATTTCCACCAGCAATGTAGAAAATAATACTTTTCTCCACATCCTCTCTCAGGCGTTCTTGTTTCTTTTAAAATTTCCAAGAATTTAATTTCCGATTCCCTGGGTCTGAGTGAATGGTCAAGAAATGGTTATGGAAAATTTGCAAAAGATACGAAAGGGAAAGGCTGGGGCGGGGGCAGGGGGTGTAGGGATCCAACCAAATCCACTGCCATCAAGGCAATTCCAACACACGGCCAGCCTCCTCCTTGTTTCAAAAGCTGTGAATCTCTACAGGAGGAGATGGCCTCATCACTTTCCTTGAAGCAGCTGGTGGATTCAAACTTCAGACCTTTTTATTAGCATGTAATATTTAAGGTTAGGAATATCAATCTAAAAAGTTGGGTCAAGTTTTATATTATTATTGATAACAATTAAGGACATGTACTCTCTGTATACTAATATGCTCTTCTTAGTTTCACAAAGCAGAAGTTTCTTTTCCATCTTTTCTTCTAATCACTTAAAGCTAAAACTTTCTCTCTATGTACTGCTTCAGTGGCATTCCACAAATTTCAATACACCGTGTTGGCATCTTCATTCATTTCAAAGTGTTTTCTAAATTCTCTTGTTTTTACTGTGACATGTGTTATTTAGAAATGTATTGCTTTCATTTCCAAATTTTGGGAGGAATTTTTCAAGAGATCTTTTTTTGTTACTGATCTCTATTCATTCCACTGTGTCTAGGACCCATACTCTTTATTATTTAAATCCT